GTCAAGGAGAGAATCCTTCTTGTTACTTGTAACAAGCTATTTAATACCTTAGCCGTGCTAACTAAGCATACACTTAGCCTATCTAGGTAAAACTTCTATATCTTAGCTTTAAAATAAGCTAACCTAATTAGGAATAGCTCTAGTATTTAGCAAGTTATACTAGTTTAAAAACTAGAACTTTTAAGAACATATTTTTTTCATGTCACCCCTCTGTAAGTTACTATCCTGAAGTGAATCTTCCTGCCAGAGCATGGTCATTGGTCCTGTTATGCTTCGGACAAGTTTATAATACGACCGAGACAGCGTGACTAACAACGATTTCTCAGGATTTCTCTAAGACGGCATACTTTGAATGCCATGGAACTGGCACAAGTGTCGGCGACCCTATCGAAACCGGAGCAGTTGCCAGGGTGTTCGGAGAGAAGGGTATTCACATCACTTCCGTGAAGCCCAATGTCGGTCACACCGAGGGTGCCTCTGGCCTCGTCTCGTTGATCAAGGCTGTCATGTCCCTGGAGAACCGTACAATCCCACCAAACATCAAGTTCAATATTCCGAACCCGAAGATTCCTTTCAAGGAAGCCAAACTCACTGTTCCTGTTGAACCGACACCCTTCCCCGAGGATCGCTGTGAGCGTGTCAGTGTGAACAGTTTCGGTCTTGGTGGGTCGAACGCGCATGTTATTGTCGACTCGGCAAGGAGCTTCAATATTCCCAAGCGGGCGGTCCGAGACGCAGACCTGGATTCAGAGGCCAAGCTGCTTCTGTTCTCAACAGGTTCTGGTCCTTCATTGAAATCGACTATCACACGCTACGAAGAGTGGGTCCAGGAACACGCCGATGAACCCGAAAAGATTAACGACCTTGCCTACACTCTCGCCAACAGGCGTGAGCATCTCCCTCATCGGGACTTCAAGGTCGTGGGTGCTAATGACGCTCCGGCTTCCCAGGGCAGAAAGATCCCTGGTCAGCCCGTGAACCTCGTCATGGTATTCACAGGTCAGGGAGCACAATGGCCTCGCATGGGTCGTGAGCTACTGTTGCGCGATGATTCAGTTTTCCAAAAGACTATTAGGGCGCTGGACAAGCATCTTCGATCTATCTCTCAGCCTCCGGAATGGACGATCGAAAAAGAGCTCTTGAAGTCAGCCAAGATTTCGCAAGTTCAGAAGGCAGAGCTCTCGCAGCCACTATGTACTGCCGTTCAGATTGGTTTGGTTGATCTCTTGGCAAGCGTCGGTGTCGAGCCCGCGGCAGTAGTCGGCCACAGCAGCGGTGAACTCGCTGGTGCGTACGCTGCTGGGGCGCTTACAGCAAAGGAAGCCATCATTGGAGCCTACCAACGTGGACAGGCTGCCAAGCTCCAGAAGAGAAAGGGTGCCATGGCAGCTGTGGGTCTCGGCTGGGATGAAGTCAAGCCGTATCTGAACGCACCCCATGTTGTCGTTGCGTGCGAGAACTCCCCTCAGAGTGTCACCCTCTCGGGTGATGCCGAAGCGGTACAAGACACTGTCAACCGTATCAAAGAAGCACACCCCGACATCACAGCTCGACTTCTCAAGGTAGAAAAGGCATACCACTCATACCACATGCGTGAGATCGGAGCCGAGTATCATGCCATGATTGAGGAGCACCTCGAAGGCAAGCAAGCCACCAAGCCCTTCTTCTCTAGTGTTACTGGTACAGGAGAGCCAGAGCAACGCAAGTTGGATGCCAAATATTGGCAGCAGAACCTTGAGTCGCCTGTGCTCTTCAGCCCTGCTGTAGCAGGTCTGCTGAAGCACGTCAAGAATCCAGCCTTCCTTGAAGTCGGTCCACATGGAGCTCTAGCCGGTCCCGCACGACAGATCTTCGCTAAAGCATCTGCTTCTCCGTCATACCTTTCGGTAATGACTCGTAACGAGGATTGCGTGCAATCATACTTGACCGCTGTCGGCAAGCTCTTTGAGCTAAATGTCCCGATCAACTATGAGGCCATTGCCCCTGCCGGAGAAACGCTTCCAGATCTTCCCCGTTACCCCTGGCACTATGATGGCGAGTTCTGGGCCGAGTCTCGCATGTCCAAAGAGTGGAGATTCCCCAAGTTCCCTAGGCACCCACTCCTAGGACGTCAACAGTTGGAGAGCACCAGCCTTGAGCCCAGCTGGAGGAACGTCATTAACATTGAAGATGCTCCTTGGCTTCGAGACCACCAGGTTCAAGGCGCCATTGTTTTCCCTGCCGCAGGCTACTTTGCAATGGCGGGTGAGGCAATTCGACAGCTGAGCGGCATCGAAGATTCTTACAGCCTTTCACATATGGTGCTCAGCCAGGCGCTGATGTTGCAGGAGGGTGTTGATACTGAGATCGTTACAAATCTCCGCCCTCTTCGTCTGACCGACACTACAGACAGCCAATGGTGGGAATTTTCAATTGCCTCCTACAATGGTAACTCATGGGTGAAGCACTGCGTCGGCCGAGTGTCTGCTGTTCCATCTGCCGGGCCAAAGCAGGCTGAAGAAGTCAAGTCGCTTCCTCGGAAGTTGGATACCTTCAAGATCTTTAACACTCTGGCCAAATCTGGAATGCAATACGGCCCAGCATTCCAGCGTCTGGAGGAGATCAGCGCAGATCCTATAGAGACTAGGGCTGTGAGCAGCCTTACTAAGGACCTGAATGGAGATGAGAATAAGTACCACCTCCACCCGACAGTCATCGATGCTGCTCTTCAAATGGGACTCGTCGCTGCTAGATCTGGCAAGCTTGATGCAAACAACTGCGCCGCAATGCCTACGTTGATCGAGGAGGTGACCATCTTCCGTAGCAACCCAGAGGCAGGAATGTTTGCAACAGCATCAACACATGTTCAGCCTGGCAGTGGTGAAATCCGAGGCCGTTTCCAAGTCATTGCAGAAGGCAAGGCAGTGATGGACATGCCCAAGGCAGCATTCACACCTATCGAACAGGGTGATAAGGATGTCGTACACAAGCTTCCCATCACCGCGCGTCTAAGCTGGCAGCCTCACGTCGACTTTGTCGATGTGGCTTCTCTCATCGAACCCAAGGTAGATGGCGCGAAGTGGGCGCCTTTGTTCCAAGAGCTGACTGAGCTCTGCTACGTCTTTTTCCAGAGATGTATCGACGATGTCAAAGTAGTGGAGAACCCCACGATCCAGCGGTTCGCAGCCTGGGTTCGCCGTCAATATCAAACCCTGGATAAGAGCCACCCAGCACAAGCTCTCAGTATGGAACAGATTGTTGAAAGAGCCCATGCTATCGGAGAAAGCTTGGCTGGATCGCCGCTTGCTCCCGCTGCTGACAGTGTCTTGGAAGTTGGTGGAAATATTGTCGAGTTGTTGACCGGTGAAAAGACTATCTTCGAAGTCCTCGCACATGACGATCTGCTTAACAAGCTCTATAACGCAGCCAACACTACTGACAAGTCGGCATTCCTCAAGAGCTTGGCTCACGCAAGGCCCAGTCTTCGTATCTTGGAACTTGGTGGTAGCACGGGAGAATTGGCCTCATCCATCATCAAAGATCTGAGTCTTCCCAACGGCGGCTCCCTTTACTATAGATATACCATGACTGACCCTGTGTCGAGCACTCTCTCCGAACTCAAGAAGCAGTTCCAGAATGTCGACAACATGGACTTCCGCACCCTGGACATCTCCAAGGACCCGGCTGAGCAGGGATTCAAGGAAGACGACAAGTACGATCTTATTGTTGCGACAAACTGCGTCCACGCTACTCCAAGCTTGTCCGGTTCTCTGACCAATATCCGTAAGCTTTTGGCGCCCGGAGGTCGACTCCTCTTGCAAGAGCTCAACACACAGACGAAGTGGGCCAACTGCGTTCTTGGCTTCCTCGATGAATGGTGGATTGGCGAAAACGATGGGCGACCTGATGAACCCTACGTTTCTCCAGAGCGCTGGGAGGCCGAGTTGAAGCGCGCTGGCTTCGCTGCTCCAGCCATTGCGCTAGACTCGCCAGCTCCGTACCAGTCACACGCTGTCATCATCGCGAGACCGGAAGAAGACACCAAGCCAGCTGAGAATAAGCATGTAGCTGTGCTAGCGTACAAGCAGGACGGCAAAAACGTCGATGCTGTCAGCCAGAAGCTCCAGAGCCGAGGCTACAAGGTCAGCAAGTGTAGTTTCGGAGATGAGCTGCCGCAAAAGTCACAATATGTGATCAGTCTTCTTGACGAGGAAAGTCCCTTCTTCGAGGACGTTGACCAGCACCGTTTCCAGACTCTGCAAAAGTTCATTGCCAACATTGGTGACCGCGGTTTCTTCTGGATCACCCGCCCATCTCAAGTGCAGTCTGCGGACCCACGATATGCGACTGTGATTGGTGCCATCCGCTCCATTCGTCACGAAGACACCATCGACTTTGCTACCTGCGAGGTTCATGATGTGAGCGCATCACTAGATCTGGTCGCCGATGCTTTCACCCATTTCCAGAACCAGAAGGAAGATGACCTCTTCAGGCCCAACTACGAGTACGCGATTGTCAACGACACTGTCAATGTACCTCGCTTCTACCCCTTCACGTTTGGCGATGAGCGCACCTCTAGTCGCGCCGCAAACGAGCGCGTATCTCTGGTGGCTGAGAAGCCTGGCCGTCTAAACACTCTAGGTTGGGTGTCGCGTCGACCTGAGCCCCTGGTTGGAGACCAGGTCGACGTCGAGGTCTTCTACTCTGAACTCACGAACAAGGATGTTGCCGAAGTCACGGGCAACAGCCCTTATCCTGCCGGAGGTCTCGGTAGAAGCGCCGCTGGCAGAATCTCTGCCGTCGGACCAGACGTCAAGGGTTTCGCTGTTGGCGATCGTGTAATTGGTCTTGGCTCCGGAAGCTTCTCCTCACACCTGCGTGTGTCAGAGAAGTTGGTTGAGAAGATCCCTGATAGCATCTCATTCGAAGAAGCAGCAACTCTTCCTGCTGCGTTCGGAATGGCGCTTGCGGCTCTGCACACTACCGGAAACCTACAAATTGGACAGGTAAGTGACCTATTCTCTTCCTTTGTTTACAAAATGAAGGAAAGTGAGGATTAAGCTAACATAATCAATAGTCTGTTCTCATCCATAACTCCACTGGCAATGTTGGCCTTGCTGCATTGCAACTCGCAAGGGCATCGAAGGCAGATATTTATGCCACTGTCAAGACCGAGGAGGAAGCAAAATACCTCATTGACAACTTTGGGATTCCCAGGAGTCACATCTTCTTCTCCACAGATGACAGATTCTTGCAGGGTGTTCTGGAAGCAACGGGTGGGGAGGGTGTTGACATTGCTCTGAACTCGCTATCTGGCGACCTCTTGCACGCTACCTGGAAGGCAGTCGCTGAGTTCGGAAAGTTGATTGAGATTGGTACTGCGGATTTGGTTGGTGCGGGTAAGCTGGAGCTGAACGCCTTCTTGGGAGGTAGAAGCTACACTGGTGTCAACTTAGAGGCTCTGGTAACCAAGAAGCCTGCTGTTGTCAAGGGGTAAGTGGATATGCAAAAACCTCCTTGGACCATCGATCTTAGAGCTAACTTCTTTTTTGTAGACTACTCCAGTCGACCATTAAGTATTTGAAAGAGGGCAGCATTACTCCACTCAGCTCTCGGGTGGTGTACGAGGCTGCGGGCGTCGACGATGCCATCAAGCATGTGCAAGAGGAAAAAGAACTGAGCCAGGTCGTTCTCCAGCTCAGGGATGCAAATGGCGAGCTCAAGGTTAACGCCAACACTATCAACGTCGCTGATGACTTGTTCAAGGTTGATAAGACAGCCTCATACCTGCTTGCAGGAGGTTTGGGTGGTATTGGCACCGTCATTGCCAGGCACTTGGTTGAGAACGGAGCCCGCCGCATTGTCTGCTTCTCACGAAACCCTGGATCACGCCCTGAAGACATCAACACCATCCGGGAGCTTGAGAGCATGGGCTGCGAAATTGTTCTTGTCAAGGGCGACATCAGCAACAAGGAAGACGTCTTCCGCGCCGTCAATCAATCGCCCAACCTCAAGGGTATTCTCCACTCGCCCATGTTCCTTCAGGATGAAGCATTCCGCAACATGACGGTGGAGCAGTGGATCAAAGCCACCGGTCCCAAGGTCAAGGGTGCTTGGTACCTCCACGAGGCTACGGTCGATGCCGGTATCGAACTCGACTTCTTCGTGTTCTTGTCATCCATGTCTGGTGCCATCGGCCAGCCTGGTCAAGCCAACTATGCAGGTGCCAACACCTTCCTGGACGCCTTTGCACTATGGCGCAACAGCAACGGGCTTCCAGCATCTTCTATCGACATTGGTGCCGTCGCCGACATGGGCTACGCCGCCCGCGATCAGCAGCTGCTACAGAGGCTCATCAAGAACGGCTACTCTGGCGTCACAGAATCCGAGATGATCGAGGCGTTCCGCGCAGCAGCGTCATACCCCGTGCCCTCGCTCAACGTCGACACAAAGAAGAGCCCCTTTGCCCACAAGAACACATTCGCTACGGGATTCGGTTCCGACAAATCGCTCAGCCACCCCGAGAACCGTACCTTCTGGAAGAAAGACCTCCGCACGGGCGTGTGGTACAACATCAACGACGGCGACGAGGGCAATAGCGGCGGTGACAACGATGCATTCAAGACATTCCTCTCCGCTGCCAGGAATGATACCGAGACGCTGGCCAAGCCTGAGACGGCCGCCTACTTTGGCGCTGAGGTCGGAAAGCAACTCATGCGCTTGCTGCTCCGACCCGATGACGAAGAGCTCGACATCACGATGCCTGTGCAGCAACTTGGTCTCGACTCGCTTGTCGGCATCGAGCTGCGCAACTGGTGGAGGCAGACGTTTGGCTTTGATATTAGTGTGCTGCAACTTTTGGGCTTTGGTACGTTGGAGGAACTGGGTAAGCAGGCTGCGGGTGGATTGGCTAAGGCTCTTGGTGGTAAATGACCAGGGCTAGGGTTTGGGTGTGTTTCCTTTGTTCAGGTGTTTTTCGGTGTTAATTGCATTTCAAGTAGCTTTTATATGGTTTCCAGTAGCAATGAAAAAAGTTTTTGATATCTCTTTTTTCTCTCTTGTATATACATGTAATTGTGTTCGTCTGTTCAACTTGGCATCTTAGTTTCTAACAAGGAATGCACACTTTGCTCTTCCCCTAGCAGGTACCATCGCTAAGAAAAGCGCAGTATGCGGTTAGTCCTGACCCGTTGAGTAGACGATTGGAGCCCAGTCACTCCAGCATTCTCTGTAGTTGCTCGAGGACCAAGAACATATCCTTTGCCCTTGCCTCCGACAGGTTTTTTTCTCTTGCATGGAGTCTCACAGTTTCGTTGCGCGCAGCAAAGATTGTATTGAGGTCTAGTTTGTCTGCAACCACGCCTACAGCAATCCCCTGGTCTTTAAGAGTGACGTCTGAGATTTCCAACTAAATCTTTAGCTCTTTTCCTGTTTCTGGTATGACGCCGTTAATTGTGAGTCCCTGTTCTGTCACTGTAACTCCTCTTATCGACACATTGGTCCCAGTACATTGGGACATTGTCTTTCTGAGGGCCTCCTTGCTAAGCTGATAGTATGTCTGATCCGAAGACTTGAGGAGCTGCTGCTCGGTTGTTAGCTCCTTCGTCGCGTCGTTGGACTCGTCATCAACTAGATCTGAAAAGGACTTCTGTTGCGCTCGTTCAGCGTTGTTGCTTTTGAGGTCTGAAGCTGTGTTTAGCTGTCTTATCTCCTCCTGAATCTTGGTTTCGACGCATTTTGTCACAGCAATATTTTGTCCGATATCCTTCTCATGTCTTCCCAACTGTTTGGCCTTCTCAGATATCGTGTCTAGCGTGAATGCTGGATTGGAGAGCCTAGCATGTTCGCATTGGTTACCTGCACAATCGAATACCATTACTGATGAATATTGCAATAACTACATTATCACAGTTGTCAGTGCAAGTTGAAGTGTGGCTTTATAGTTAACCAGTTGCCCCCTGAAGGCATTGATGTTTCCTCGGCCGAAAATTGCTATCTTTGACCTGTCGATCTCGAACATCTTGTCCTCAGTCGAGTGTCGCATAGTCCGGTCAGCCATTCACCGAAGCATTTGCATGCGCCTTCGCAGTTTTCCAGGCTACACGTAATGATTAGATCAGCTAGTAGATCTTGAGTTGCATTTTGTGCTGCTGATACAGGGTGCTGCTGTAGATGTTGAAGGATCAGCTTAAGAGCTCGATGGCCTCCAGGACGTCCTGAAGGCAGGTGCCGAGGGAAGTAGCATGCTCGCGTGTTTTTTAAGCGTGCTCAGACATCACTGTATACTTACTAAACTACTCTCGCAATAAATTCTACTCTATGCCCCTAGTAGTCGGTGGCTAAAGAACGGCTGTGGCGCATGCCTACGGCTTTGTAGAAGCCTCACGACTAGATGCTCAGTCTCGCTATTGCAACGTGACCTGGGCCGCTGTCGACATTTGCTCTGCCTAAGTAAAGACGTAGATGCTGCCGCTCTACTAAAAAACGATACAGCAGCGTCATCCTTGTATCGACCCCCAGGCCTATAGTCAATCAGAGTTTTCTTTCTAGTCTGTGTTACTCCGTTGCTGACGTATATCCCTTCCGTGCCGGGTATTGAATGAGCCAGCATTAAACATAACCAAAGAATACTTTGGTGACGTCCCTAAAAGTCTCTATCAGCACCAGCATTCCTGGGAGTTATGCTGCTAGTTAGCGCGTACTATGTATTGTGCTGTGCTCAAGGTCTAGGAGAGAAATTGTCCTGTTAAAACGTGCATCCCAGTACGTATGGACAGACGTTGTATATCTTAATTTTATCTTATTTTATTGCGTTGTGGTTCAATTGCACAGCACGTTAGGTCAGATCAGGTGGGGTAGCCTGCAGGTTGGCCACAAAAGTATTTGATATGCGAGAGCTATGTAGTAGTTTTGACTTGGCAAGGCTTCGGAGTCAGCAAACACCCCTTGTTCTAGCTTAAAGGAGCTATATATTACTAAGTCTCCAACCGTGATTAGCTAGCAAGTTGGTCACGATTAATTAGGAGAAATATTACACCTTTTTAGCACTGCTACATATATATCAGACACTTTCGATATCAACGAGTACCAACTGATCCCACCCACCAGATAACCCTTAACGTTAAGTCTACGTAGCGCTGACTAGGATGTGTTGGCTGACTATTAACTTTGAGGTCATCTCTTATGATTGGTTGAGGCGATGTGAAGCCTCGTGTCAGACACTGTTGTTGATACACAATTGCCAAAGAGCGTGTGGTCTGGTGGGCGTCATGTGATAGGCTTGCACAAGATAACGTGAGAGCGGGAAAGGATTCTACTTCGCAAGTTTCCGGTAACGAGAATATAAGAATGATACTTCTTCTCAGGGTCTTCATCATCACCTTTAATACACATACCCACGATCTTACCCAAACTCTCCTGTCTAACAGTTCTGCACATAATGCAATCCATTAAACCGATGCTATGTATATTCTTCGCTGCGACATCTCTTGTGGCTGCCGCTCCAGTCGTTCTTCCCAAGCCAGCGCCTTCAACCGTAAATACTGATTTTAAGTCATCAACTCATCACCACTATGGCTACAGATGAGCTAATACTTGGCTCTCAAGGCAAACAAGAGCCTTGGATCTGCGGACCTGGACCTGGACCTGGACCCGGATTTGGACATGGACATGGACATAACTAAACCATTGCGGATATAGCGGGCTGAACGCCCTTTTGATAACTCCTCGAATGGGATCACTGTTCAAGCGGCACGCCATCTAGATGTTACTCTAAGAACCCGGATTCTGCTCACTGTCTGAGGCAGTACTTAGACAACGCCCTTAGATACTTCGGTATAACCTTTCTTTGACGAGTGAATAAACATCATATAAGTAGGATAGATAGCTGTTTATGAAATATAACCTCTTATATATCTCGTGATTACTCTCTAAAGCGCCTCCCCTTGTATTTAATATACAACGCTAAGTAGACATGAGCCTTAGGCAGACTATCTTCTAACTCAATATTAGAATGTGCTATTAGCACAAGCCGGTTGTGTAACCGAGTGTATAGTGACTTGCTTGCGTGAGGCGTTGTTTTATCACATTTTCTCTTATGGCACTCTGTGGAGGAAGGGAAGAACAATGGTTATCTGGTGGCGCTAAGCATCCAATGTGCGCACATCTTCTCGCGATCCAAGAGCGTGCTGATATACAGCGTAAAAGCGACTAAATAGAGTGTAATATGAATAGTGCTTAGGATGTATTAGAGTCTGCCAGGAATGAAGAAAGATGTGATCGTATGGTTCTTCTTCTGCATCTGATAGGAGCTGTGCGCGTTATGTATGTGACTACAACTCCTATGGCCTTGTAACATGTACCAACTTAACATGCAATTCAAGGTTATCCTTCTCCTAGGTCAAGTATCAGGGTACACATTTGATTACAGTCACTAGCGAATTTGGCTTGTACCCTGCACACTCAGTTGGCCACCATTACCTCTACATTCGTTGGTCGTATATCACGTGATTTAGCGGGGTGGCTGTCATATGTCAAGGCAGAAGCGATGAAATGACTTTGTTAGGTTCACGACACTCCCCACCGAGGCTACCCAATATGCACATAGCTCACGTCATAGAGCACGATGTCTACTTTCCCATCTCTTGAATTTTATCGCAAACCTTTGTTGCCAGACAGCATTCGCTTACTTCGCCTACTTCCTAGTGAAGATAAAACAGCACCCATCCAATGTGAGCTCTTCCACTACTCTTTGCAAGAATCAGGCAGACGCACGCATCCATACGAAGCCTTGTCCTACGTATGGGGTAGTTTGGATAATCTTCACTCAGTTTTTATACACGAACATAACCCCAAAAGTGGATATGGTTCTACGAGCGGAAATGACCTATCCGTGACGCGAAACCTTCACGCGGCGTTGATACGTCTGCGATACCCCCTTTTTGAAAGAATCATATGTATTGACGCTGTTTGCATCAATCAAAACAATGATAAAGAGAAAGAACAACAGATTCAGTTCATGGTAAAGATTTACGGCCTAGCAAATCGTGTAATTGTTTGGCTTGGGGATGCAGCAGAAGACAGCGACCAGGCGCTCCATTGGATACGCGTTGCTGGAGGCAACAAGTCGAAAATTCCGCCAATCAACGAAGCGGTTCAGGAAGCAGTCATTGCGCTACTTCAACGACCGTGGTTTCGGCGCATCTGGGTATGGGAACATGGGTACCCTTGTCCGAATTGTCAAAATTACTAATAGATTAATTAAGGTACTTCAGGAAGTTGCTGCGGCTCGTCATATTCTAATCATGTGTGGACCCACCGAAATTGATGGTTACGCTTTCTGCTTAGGTGTAGATTCGTTTCAAGTGTTTGTCAACCCTCATGCACCCTTGCAACATTTTGCCCGTTCGACAACCTACCTGATAAGGGGAGCAATCTTTAGGTCAGAACTTTCTATGGGCAGATCAGGTAGCTCTTCTCTGGGTATTTGCCCACTAGGTGAATTGGTCGATATGTACCGTGCCCATGAAGCTACTAAGTGCCATGACAGGGTATTCGCCTTGCTAGGCATGAGCTCTGACGACCTCACCAAATCAAAGCTATTGCCCGATTACAGCGTTCCATGGGAGGAACTCTTAGAGCGACTGACCAAGCATCTACTGGGTAAAGAGATATCTGTAGAGATTCGGGGAGTTGATCGGGAGATTGTGGTGATTAGAAGCAAGGGCTGTGTTCTTGGTACAGTCCTATTGGAACAAAAATACTCTATTCAGGCTGAAAGAGAAAGCGTGGATGTCATTTTCAGGAATGAAAAGGGGATCACTCATTTGGCTCTTCTGGGATCGGCAAGATCCGTCCGAGATGGAGATTTGATTTGCCTTCTACAAGGAACATCAAGCCTGACAATCATCCGAGATTGTTGTGATCATTTCGAAGTTATTGGAATTGCAGTTAGGCTTGTAGAGAAAGCTCTAGTGTCAGATGGATATGTCGACGGGCCGAAACTTTCACAATCAGGAATACAATTCATCCATAACCTCACACTTATCTGGGACTGGGAAATGACTTTGGAGAGATCACAACACTCAAAAGGATACCATCGGGTGCTAGGGTATTCGACAGAGCTTGAAGGCTCTTTGGACAAAGCGACGAGAATATGGAACATTGCAAGAGCATTGCATTATGTGGGAGACGTTAAAGAGGCGTGAAAAAGACTTCAAGCGGCAATTCAGGGCTATCAGACAGCATTTGGGATACAGCATCCGTATACATTGGAAGATAGATGCGATATGACACCACTTTCATGGGCTGCAGAAAATGGCCATGTTAGTGTAGTACATCTACTGCTTGCAAAAGATGATTCCGATCTGAACTTGAAGGATAGTCGCTTGGGTCGCACACCACTATCGTGGGCAGTTGGGAGAGGGCACGAGACTGTGGTAAAGCTATTACTTCAGACAGGTCAGGTTGATGTTAACTCTAAGGATAAGTCCGGTCAGACGCCACTCTTGTGGGCAGCCAGGGAAGGGCATGAGACTGTGGTGAAGTTACTGCTTCAGGCGAGCAAGGTTGATGTCAACTCTAAGGACGGGTGGTCTGGTCGGACGCCGCTCTCGTGGGCAGCTGAGAGAGGACACAAGATTGTGCTCGATTTACTATTCCAGATAGGTAAGGTTAATGTCAACGATAGGGGCGGGTGGTCTGGCAGAACACCGCTCTCCTGGGCAGCCGAGGGAGGGCACAAGACTGTACTACACCAGCTACTTTCAAAAGATCGTGTCGATCCGGACTTGAAAGATGCGTCTGGTCGGACGCCACTCTCATATGCAGCCGAGAAAGGGCACGAGACTATATTCAATATACTGCTTAGTACAGACAAGGTTAAGGTCGAGTCAAAAGATAGAAAAGAAAGAACACCGCTCTGGTGGGCAGCTGGGAAAGGTCATGAGGCTATAACTAAGCTGCTACTTGATACAGGCAATGTCAAGCTCAACCTGAAGGACGATGATGGTCAGACTGTGCTCTCGTAGGCAGCTGAGAGAGGGCACGATAATGTGGTCAATCTACTACTCAAGACAGGGAAGGTTGACGTTGACGTTAAGGATAAGTCTGGTAATACGCCACTCTCGTGGGCCATTCGAAGAAAGCACGAGGCTGTGGTCAAGCTACTACTTGATATGGGCAAGGTAGATATCAACTGGGCGAACAATATGCTCGAACGCTGCTCCCATCACTGGTGGTGAATGAGTACGAGGACCCAGTCAAGCTATTAATAGATACAAGCAAAGTAGATATCAACTAGGCAGACAAATAGCATCAGACGCCGATCTTATTGGTAGCTAGGGCAGCGAACGAGGCCACTGTCAAGTTGCTGCAATCAAGTAATATATAGCTTACCTTTCATCGCTCCTCCATATCTGCTATCTCACTACGTACCCAGGTCTTTGGGTAGGTTGTCTCATAGCCACTCATACCAAATCATGTGAAGGTACGATATCACGTGATCATACAGTGGATATTTCCAGGATTTCTTCTAGGTTAGATAGACTACCTTCTTAACTCGGAAGAATACAGCGATTGGGCTCAGCTTCCTTGTACTAGCTCAGTCGCAGGTCGCCCCTTGATCTTCTGAGCTTTACCTTGTATCGTGCCACAATATACGATACGTTTGCGCTAGAGAGTGCAGATGGAAGCCGATCTCGCAAACGACTATACTGAAATACCAACATACCCCTGAGGTAGAACCTTCGATCGTGTTCTGAGTATTAGCGCAGTCTTATCCAGCTGGCGTGCTCTGAATTCCGTCAGCCAAGGCAGCCAAGTACGCTGATCACGTGAGATTGATTATACTTATCCAGCCGGAACGTTAGGTCCGGGCTACTACCACTTCATATTCTGAACCCCAGCATCACCCATCAACCACCAACCGTCCACCATGGAGCATGGCAGTACTATGACCGTAACATATGCGCCCTGTGTTGAGCTGCAGTGCATGCCACATGCAGCATACATACGGCGACCGGGCGAAGACTGGGCGGGCATAACGAACCCAAAGGAACGCAAGAGGCTCCAGAACAGACTGAACAAACGCGTTTGTGAGTGACACCCAACCCCAGATATCCAACTCTGGTTTACGTGGTCAACCCAAGTCTAATGCTCGGCTTTTGTATCGGCATACAGCAAGGCAGCGGAAAAAGCGGAAAACAAGCCATGATGAAGACGACTCGTCGGATGCAGCGTCCCGCGCGGCTAGTACGACGTCCGACACCACCGTCTCGGACACTAGGACTTTGTTGTACAGCAGAAGCAGCAGCAGAAGCAGAAGCAGCAGCACTACCAGAATCGTACCCTCGACATTCAGCCACTGCTCGGAGGAGGACGCGGCCCGGGAGCGTGCGGTACTCCAGCAGTTTGCCGAGCAAGCGTTAAGAAGTTACATGACGGGCGACCCGTGTTCGGACCACAAGCTCCGGCTAATCCAGTTCAACATCATCAATGGTCTCACCCGCAACGCTGCCATGCTAGGTTACCAGTTCGACTGGCTCGTGTGCGCCGCCGTCTCACCGTTTGGGTGTAACGGGCCAATCCGCGATGCAAGGTCCGTGACGCTGCTGCTGGAAAGGGGTACCGTGCCGGGCAATCTGGTACCAACCGTGGTACAGCTATCCATCAGGCACCATCCGTGGCTCGACTTGTTTCCCCTCCCCCGCATGCGCGACAACTTGCTGCTGGCGACAAATAGCTATCTGTCGCCGGAAGAAGAGCAAGAGCCGTTTGACGACATTATGGACTCAGGTCGAGGCAAGCACGAGTGGACGGGCCTCGTCGTCTGGGGTGAGCCGTGGGATCCGCAAAATTGGGAAGTTAGCAAGCCGTTTTTGGAAAAATGGTACTGGCTTATGATCGGCTGTCCGGAAATCATTGATTCGACTAACCGATGGCGGCGTTTGAGAGGGGAGAAGCCGCTGTCGACACCCGGGTTTATAGTTGAGGAGGTGGAGGATGGGGACTACAATGAGGGAGCAAGGTGTTGAGCAAAATTGTTTCACCAAGAGCGCGCAGGAGGTATGTATAAATGATTACTTTCATATCTATTCTAGGAAGGCACAGTTGTCAGTATTTATTATGAATAATTAAGTTGATTTCTCGAAAGTTGATTTGCGTCCAGTCTTATGAATGTTACAGTTGAAAATCATCATGTCACACCGGCCGACGAGCATCATCATATCTCCCCTTTCAACACGGCACTCCAATCTTCGCTTCGGAAGTAATCCTCCAAAGATGTCGTCTTGATACCCAGCTGCTCCGGTGTCTTGACCTTGGGGTTTCCGCCCGCATACCCGTATTCTGCAAAAAACCGGAAGTCGTCGAGGACAGTCTTGTCGAAGCCCTCTGGAAGATACTTGACATACTCTTCCTCGTCAACATCTCTCACCGTCGCTTCTACACCCTGTGTCTTAGCCCAGAGAGCTGCGTAATCCTCCTTGGAAATGATTTGACTGGCACCCAGGACGTCTGTGCCGGGCGGGTGGTGAAGAACCAGGGCTTCGACAAACGCACCACTATCACGAGACGCGACGACCTCTGGGTTTTCCTTGTGTGGGCCGTCGCATTTAAGACGGACATATTCAAAAGTACCATCCGGTTTCTTGTGCGGCCTGAATGCGGAAATCTCCCTCCACGTCTCTTGGAAGATGCCCATGTTGACGGTGCTAAGGCGGGCACGCAGTTCCGGAAGCTTGTCTCGGATGTGCTGCTCAGCCGCGGCCTTTGAATCAAACTCGTACGAGTTCTTGTACTTGCCGCCGCTGATTTGCTTGACGGGCGCCAAGGTAGAAAAGACATATCTCTCGAGGGTGGACAGGACGTTGGGGTCGCTAGCGGCTGTTGCTAGGTTGATGCCCTGTAGCGTCTCGAGGTGACCGGCATATTCCTCGAGAGACAAGCCGGCCTTGGCTGCCTCGCTCTGAAGGGTCTCGTCCCCGGCTACTCGCGAGTAGCATCCGGCCCAATCTGTGACGGCGAAGATGGCGTGAGCACCTTGGAAGGCAGCCTTGAGGGACTCCAAGTCATCGTGATCTCCTTTGACGATTTCAACACCCTTGTTGGCCCATTCCTTGGCCTTTGGGGAGCCAGGGTTGCGCGTGAGTCCGCGTATGCGCCAGTTGGTGTGGGTGAGAAATCGACGTGCTACAGAACCACCCTGAGCCCCGTAACGTTAGTGTGGTTACGAGCTGCGGCGTGTGAATTACGACATCCGTACCTGTGTTCCAGTAATGCCCAGGATGGTGATGAGTTTTTTGGCCATGATGTGGTGTTCTGATGTTTCACAGGGAAGCTGAAGAAGGTTCAAGAGGGACGGAATGTCCTTTTCCTCCACGAGAGGCCCTCCGTTTATGTGTTGGCTCGATGAACGTTGTGGTGAGAGTATGCGACAAGCTTGGCGGTTCCTGACGGATTGTCTGACAGGCCCGGATCTGGAAGGCTTAGACTATGGCAAACGTCCAGGATGTCCTTTGTTGTTGCAGGTCTACCTAGGCAGGCATTATCTAGGCTTAGTGCCATGGACTTAATCTGAAATAGGAAGCCCTCTGTCCGTACGTGAATGGATGGTGGCTCATGAGTGGTCAGGTAAGCGACACGTGATGCTGCAGGTCGCTGACATCTGGTCGGCGCTATTTCGCAATCACGCTTTGGTAATGCAACCGGACGACACTTGCTCCACTTTACCTTACACACGCACTTCCAAACACCGTATATCATCCGACACTGCTACAAAGTGCCTAAATGACGTGATCCCCGGACGACGCACCTGGCTGACAGTGGCCCCCAATGCCAAACTCGCCGCTTACGTCAACTGACATTCTGCATGTACTGGCATCCCCCGGCACGGTGACAGGGCCCGACCCGGAGTGCACTAGGGGCCCGTGCCGCGCAACGAGCCTCCTGTCCGGGGGAACATGGCGGAAACATTTGGTAGTTCGGGGTGGAGGCGGTTGGGAGAATAAGAGAAGGGGGGCCTTGCAGATTCCCCTTCCCTGGTCTCCTCAGCCACCAGCCTCAACCACGTTCCTCGACCCCAAGCTCTCTGGACGGCAATTTAACTATGTTTCAATGCAGTGCCGTCACAAGGCGACACGATGGGACTTGCCTAGCCGGAACAACCGACTTTATTTTTCGGGCCCGAATGCGACTGCCTAAAGCACCAACCATGGATCAACACATGGTAGCATCACCTCACGGTCTGGGCCTGAAAACACCTTCTCAGTTCATCTACCAGCAACCCAACAATAACCCTGTATCTGACGCGGGTCTATTGTGTGTTCATTAACAGGGCTGCAGCTATACCTCTCCCTCACGCAAGGCGCAGGGAAGCCTTGCATACCTCTCTGCACTTGATGTCTCGATATCACTCCATAAGCTCGATGGGAGCATGCATGCCCGAATCGTCCAACGTTGACCTGCGTGCTTCTAGCCAACGACAGTTCTGCAGGAACCTATACTAGCTTTGACTTCCACCACGTTCCGATGCAGAGCGGCAAAACCCTGAGCTTGGTTTTAGTAGGCTGTGCTAGTAGAAGCTAGTTTTTACTCGCCAAGACGTCTACAGACCCTGTACGCTTCTCAGTCATCTACATACAGCTAACCGAGGCCTTTACTGCATAACGAACACTGGTATATTAAGAGGGGTTTTTCTTGGCAATCGTCGATTGGAGGAGTTCGCTTACGTAGCCCTAGCGGCCCGCTATCCATCCCTACAAGCGTCTCTTATACCGAGTATTCGACCGGGCGTGAGCCGCAATTTTCAGTGTGTATCCAAAGGACCACAGGGAAAATGCTCGCGTCGTTCCTACTAGTGACACGATTGATGTCTCTTACGACCAGCAGACTTGGAGTGATGATGCCAGAACTGTAAGGCCTTCAACGCATGCAAAATTCCATCACAAAATTAGCATCCTATGCTACAAATGCAGCATTGAGGAATTGTAACGTCATGGCACTCCGTGTTTCACACCCCATATCTCGTGACCGCTTGGCGATCTGTACGGCATCGGAATCCACAATCCGCACGGCGCAATACACCGTGTCTGCAAACATATTTTGCGCTACCAAGAAGAATAAGGTGGCAAGAGAGCTCCACACCAACCAGAAGCACCCTAGAGTTATTTCTCTGGGTCTGCGATCTAGGAGACAATCTCCAGAAATATAGACAGAGACTATGGTCGGCTTAATTCTCCTTATTCTGGCGATTTATGGGCCCAAGCAAGGCTGACCGGGCTGGACGAAATACGGTTGCAGATCCGATGTATACGCAATCGATCAAGGTATTGGCGTGTAAGATCGAGATGACCTCGATCAAGCAAGCGACAAGCCTTTCTGCATGTGAATGCTCATCGTCTGCGGAGTTTTCCTTTGCCTCTCCGCGACGCACCCTCAGCAACCGTTTACCGGGACGGGCACTAGTCGACGTTACACGGCATGATCCTTTCCAGTGAGGAGGCAACGGGCAAACTATGCCCCATTTATTACACGGAATCCACCGCTCAGCAACGTGATACTCTTACCTAGTTCCGCATAAACAAAGACAAGTTTTTTTTCGCAAAGATTCCATCGGGGACCAAGGAAATAGCAATGATTGGCCCTCGACGAGGACTAGACGTGTGGCTTGCATCTCATCAATGTGATGATCGTTTTCCTAAACTTCCAAAAAAGTCAAACTGGGTTAAAGGCAAAAAGAAACACACGCAACTGTCAACATACGATGACACAATTAAGCTCTTACAGCCTTCGGGGGATAAGACCACAGGGTACCTTGGCAAACGGTAGATAGGAGCAATTCGTGCTGCGAGAAAGGGCCGCTTCAGCTGTAAGTTCAACTTGGCAATAGCATCCCCCAGAAATCCAACGCCCATGTCCATGCATCTAGAGGTACAAAGGCTACAAAAGACCCGAAACCGAGTTGCATACTCGAAACTCCAGGCATCTTTATATCCTTTTTTTCTCTGTTTCGTTGCGCAAACAAGATCTTCAACCCACCGCAATCTGATCGACGACACCCATCCTTCTGAAAGGTTGCACAGCACTCTTGGTCAATCCTGCTCGCCGGGTTAGAGTCCACCCCTCCACATTCTAAACTCTATCACACCACCCTTTTCCCCATTTTCTCCCACTACCCATGCCGCCGCCAACAGGCATTCGGCTGCGCGATAGCTGCCAATCGTGCGCGGCATCCAAGACTAAGTGCTCTAAGGACAAGCCGCAGTGCGCTCGGTGCGCCAAGAGAGGCACAAAATGTGAATATCTAGTCACACAGCGGACCGGCAGGAAGGCCCTGGTACGGCGAGACAGCGATGCCAAAGAGCAGAGCAGTGATGCTGGTAGCCGACGCAAAAGCTTGAGCCGTTCAACGACGACAGCAACATCCACAACAACAATGACGTCGTCGTCAAGCATGTGCGACGCACCAGACGTTCACATGTCAGGCTGCGCAGAGCCGCCGGACGAAGCCGCGGACATGTACATGATCGAGCCAGGACTCGAAGCATTCGATGCAGATACTGCCGGTAGCATGCTTCCTGAGATGAGCACAATCCACGACGACTACTTCTCGCTCCTCCTCCCAGACGTCGACATGTCGGCACTGGACCAGGTATACGATACAAGCAGCGCCCCCGATGCCGTGGCATCCGACATGCTAGCTCAACCGCCGCTCGGCACCAGCGGCAGCATGCCTCCTCACGGCACAGCAGCATATGCATCATATACGCAGGGGAACGACGTAGCAGCAGCGGCTGGGCACTCTTCGCCCAGGGACCCGCTACCGCTGCAGCAGCCGGATCTAGGCATGCTCCTCGATGCAGCATGCCTGCCGGGAGCACAACCTCAAACGGGGGAGCAAACCGCTTTACTGCTCTCCGAAATGCAGATGCCCCCCTACCAAACCGCCATGCACCACGCCGCAGCCTCACAGCAGCAGCAAGAGGGCCTCACAATGGCTCTGCAGCTAATGCAGCACCTGTGCTGTCTGAGCGATAGCACTTCAAGTAGTAGCAACTCAATCTCACTGGCGGGACCAGGAGCGGCGGGACCCCAGCACCACCACCCCTTCCGCCTCCGCAACCTCATGGACAAATGCAGCAAAGCCACCGCAACAATCAGTGCCATCCTGCACGGCGACTCCTCTCACGACGCATACTTCCTCGCCGTCGTCTGCCTCGCAATGTCCAAGGTCCTCGACGCATACGTAACTGCGTCCCGTACCATCGGTACACCAACTGCAGACTACTCACGCCGCAAGTCACGCTCCCCATCCGCTTCTTCTTCCTCGCCTTCGGTGCTATCTTCGCCGACTCGCCCAGACTCTGCGAGGAGTAATCGGAGTAGCGGGAGTGTGTCCCCGCCCGTTGTCCTGCAGGGAGACCCTGAATCAGCTTTATGAGGAGCAGAGGCGGCGCCTGAAGTGTATTTCTCTTTATCTAATCAACAGTCTCAAGGCATTTTGGGTGGAAGAGGCTTCGTTTTAAAAGTGTTTTTTTTCTCGCTTCCTTTTTGCTGTTCTTTCTAATTGAGAAGTGTTTTAAAGATACCTGGGGCGTTTTTTAACTCTGTTTTTTCTTTTTTTTCGCTTGGAGGATCTGAAGCATGGGACTAAAATTGGAGATGGGTCATACGAGAAAGCTGGGGCATGCATGGCACCGACATGTGTGGATGCAGGGACAGAGTAGATTGTTGTACTACGCGGCCAAGGCCTGTTGTATGTAGTCAGAGATTATGTAATTGTGCATCAGACAGAGAGTGAAAAAGATGACGTGCATATTATAGAGGCTGGTTGATATGTGAGATAAGCCCACGTGATCGAAATCAAACCATTGATATCAGCCGGGGCACGGTACCTCAAAGCACGGGCATGCATGATGAGCGATCCGATACAAATTCATTCGTGAGACGGTGGCGTAATCTCATAGATGAGATGAGAAAATAACCTGAGGAGAGTAATGGTGCGATGCACACAGTGGTAACCTACATATCGTACAAGCTGGTCTATGCTGAGTCTGTACAGTGCTACTATACAAAGGATCTACAGGTGGAATTGCGTCATGAACTATAATGACTTATCCGCAACCTTGGCTGCTTCCAGACGAGAAGCAATATGAGGTGTAGCAGTTGTCCTAGGAGCTTGTGGTTTCATAATCTGGCGAAGGACAGCGCGTCGTGGCATGGATATCCTGCTGAAAAGAACGACAGCGCCTGTCAACAAGGCCAGCGCCCCGGCTTGGTGAGCAGACGCCAGCCAGGTGGGTACCATATAGATAAGAGTGCTGATACCAAGGGTAACCTGCAGAGTGACGAGATGGACCAGACCCTGGACACCCTTGTGGGCCTCCTTGGGCAACGTGCTACGGACTCCCTTGGAGAAGCGAGTGTAGACAAAAAGACTCATGACAGCAGTAAAGGTGGTAGTGGCAAGGATGCGATGGTCGAGTTGGACCAGAGAAGGATTTTCCAGCATGTTGCGCCACCAGAGATCTGAGTGGTCTGGGACGTGGCTGTAGAAGGGATCAAATAGTTCCTTCTTGGGTGGGGCAAGCCCCAGGCCCATCCAAGGAAACTCATTGTAGATCAGCCCCGCATCAAGACCAGCGACCAGGGCACCCGACATGGCGGTTGTAAAGACAAGGAGAGTAAGACCCACGACGGAACCCCTGAATACACGCAGGACCGGATGCTGTAGCGCCTTGATGGTCTCGGCAGCCTTTGCAGGATCTGCGAGCATGCGGTGTTCCTTCAAAATGGAGAGGCCAGTGAGGATCATGGAGCAGTAGACGGCAAAGGCGGTGCCGAGATGGGCAGTCAAGCGGTACTGGGAAACGCGGGGGTGGCTGCCTGGCTCGAAAAGGTCATCCTTGAGGCCACTCTTGACCATCCACCATCCAATAGCACCCTGGAAGCCGATCATGCCGCAGATGCCGACAAGCTTCCACGCCATGGAGGGCGTAACCCTGCGGCGGGCGATGAAGTAAGCAGTCGGCAGGACCATGGTGACACCAATGACGCGACCCCAGAGACGATGGGCCCATTCCATGAAGTAGATCTGCTTAAAGTCGGCAAGGTCCATGGAAGAATTGAGCAGGGCAAATTCGGGAGAGGCCTTGTACTTGTTGAACTCGCTCGCCCATTCTTCTTCGCTCATGGGCCATAAGGAGCCGGTGACAGGGCGCCATTCGGTGATGCTCAGCCTGCGCGACTTAGCAAGTGCGATTGGCGCAAGAAGGGTCATGCCTACCCTGACTCCGTAAGGCGGGTCAGCCCGCCAAAGACGACTATGCCAAAGACGCTGGCAGCACTACCCAACAGCCAGTATGCGACGCTCTTGGATGTCGTCTTGGGGAAACTGCTCGACTTTCCCTCTGCTGCAGCTGCAGCTTCAGCAAGCGATACGGTACTCGAACTCGATGGCTGAATAGTGGCGCTGCTGCGAAGTGGCTGGGTTGACTTCCATCTCACCGATTGCAAGACAGATGGGCGGGTCGAACGAGTGGATGCGGGGACGGCGGAGCGAATGGGCGAATTGAGGCACTGTCTGCAGGAAAACAGTCGGCGCGAGAGACGGGGAGCAGCGGTGCGCAGCTGCGGGAGAGCCTGGAAGATGGAAGCCATTGCGGACGACAGACAATGGGCAACTCACAAGAGAGAAGAAGAAGAGAAGGTCGTCATGTCATCGACTACGGATTTTCGGCGGTACCAGGGTCCGGAAGCGATGCCAAGCATTGGACCCCTGCATGCGGCGTTGACAGACGGAAGGCGCGACCCACTCCGCACCGTCGCAACTGCATCACCGGACCCTAGCCAGCGAAGATCGCCGTTTGCCAGCAACTCGCCAGCGGATGCGTGATGTGCCTAGTCTGTCCTGTGGCCCCGTGACTTGTCCTCTCCTCCCCGCCGCCCTTGCTGTAAATCTGTCGTGACTCTTCTTTTCTTTTTCTTCCTCGAGTGTCCTGGACACTGTTGCCGTGTCAGACGCCGCGTGTTGCTGCTACTACCCCGCCCGTTCTTCACCGCGTGTCCGGCCGCCAAAGCCTCGCCAACCAATGTGCTCCATGCATATATAACCTGTAGCACACCTAGAATGGACAACGCCCACCAGCCGCCTGTCGGCCAAGGGAGCAGCATCCACAATCATGACGCCCAAACCCTCTTTGATGGCTCGGTGCGCACGTCCGGCGACACTGAGGGTACAGACAATGGCTCAGGCTTACGTAGTACTCCACCTCCCAGCCTCTTTTCGCCCCATATAACTTCAGTCACTCCTTCTGAACCATCTGCCTCAGTTGGTGAAGGTTCAAGGCTCCGTGCACCCCACAGGAGGATCCTCAGTCATTCCAGCTCTATGCCCTCTCTCGCAAACCATCCCAGCATGCCGAAGCGGCCGTCAAGGCCACTGGCCCCAGAAGAACGCCCACCTATAGTCCAGCTGCAGGCGGAGATTGAGCAGGCACAAAAGAGCGCCGATGATCCAAACACGCCCCTGGAGGACTCTGGCAAAAGACGCACCACTCTAGATCTTATGCGTTCAGAGCATGCTTTCCGTACAGAAATAAGTACCCTTTTCAGCGAAAGCGCTGCAGCCTCAGCCTCACGTGCTCCGTCCTATAACAACGCAACGGGCCCCCTGTATCTGCGAGGTAATGCCCGTCTATATCTGCTGCAGTGTGAAACTAATCTTGGCAGCCTCGGGCGAAGCAATTCCCCTTCCAGATCACCTCTATTCCCGTGGATTGCTAGAAGGCCGCCATTCAGACATTACCATCATAGCCTTTGGCCAGCGCTACTCTCTACATCGCTTAATCCTCGATCGCGCACCATTCTTCACCACTGCCCTTTCTGAGCCATGGCTCGAAAGCCAGTCCAAAGAAGTCACTCTACACCCCGAAGAGATTGACTCTAGCATCACTCAAGCAGCCTTTGAGCTTGCCATACGGAAGCTTTACGGCGTCGACATTTCGAAAGACATGGACGCCGAAGCTGTGGGCCTGTTCGCGACAGGATGTTGGCTGGAAATGCAGGACCTCATAGATTCGGCCATTGAGTCTATCCTGCGTCAGATGGCCCCTGAAACGCTTGCCTACCTCATCCGGCTCGTCACTTCCAACTACTACGGCCGCTCCGGCGATCGCATCCTCGAGTCGGCCAAGGCTATGCTGAGTAGGAATGGCTGGGAGATGCCGCTGAAGTATTGGGACGATATGCCGGGCGATATCATTCGTGAGCTGGTGGGCTCCGATGGCTTTTTCGTAGACAGCGAGTGGGATCGGTGGGTGCTCGCAAAGCGCCTTCTTGATCGCCGACTGCGACTGGCGGCTATTGATGCTGGACTGATACAGCGAGGGCAGAAACCCGTACCGCAAGCCCCCAATTCTCTACGCTTCAACGCTGTTCGTTTCGATGGCGTCTATCGGCAGAATGCCCTAACCGCCGCTCACTCATCGTCCGACGCCCACGCCGAATGGCTAGCACTGTACACGCTACCCGACATTGAACGCATACTTGTGCTGCTGGATGAGGGTATCCATTACATTCACATGGAGTTTGAGCAGCTCGAGTTTATCAAGAGTGCGCGCGATGTCTTTGGCCTCCCCGTCATGCCTGATAGCGTGATCTCTAACTCGCTCTGGCAGCAATTGGCGCTTCGTCAAAGGGTACTCAACACGGATGAAAATTCACAGGAATTAGGGCTCTCGCAGTCGCTCCCCGGCCCCGAAGCATTCAATGTGGCTACCAAGAGTGGGAGCGAGTTGACCTTAAAGGGCCAACAGGAAGAGAAGACGGCAGACAATGGTATACTTGAGTCGGATAGCTGGGATGGAAACGGAAAGCCACGCAAGTTTTGGATTCCAAGCTCAGACTGCAACATAGTGCTCGGCAACGGGGCTGAACCTGTTGTCACGACGTCAAGCTCCTTCCAACGTCATGCCTCGCGCCTGTCGGCCACCCTACAGCCTGAAGATGCCCAATGGGCAACGGATTTTGCATCAACTCCAGCAACCTTGACTAACCCAAATACGCGTATGGACTTTCCTCGTCGCCCGATATCTGCGGGCGGTGGGAACGCTGGGCAGCCAAGGCCGATTGCTTACACTGAGTTCCCTCCTTTCCGCTTCTCCGCCGAATTCCCCAACCCTCGCTTCCTCAAAGAGAAGAAGCGTGTATACTCGCGCACAGTATCATATGCTGGATCTCTCTGGAACATCTACATCCAAAAGGTCCGTTCTGCGAAGAACGTGCAACTTGGTGTCTACCTCCATCGCGCAAAAGAGCGCGAGGTAGACGAGACTGTCCAAGCCAGCGTTCTCAGCCAGCAAAACGATGGCACCGTTGATGAGCGTATCGGACGTTTGGAAAGGGAAATGCTCATGCGCAGCGATCCACGCGATCGGAGACGCAGCACCCGTGTTCCCTTTGTCGACTCGACTGCCGAAGACGACACGTCTGGCAGCGGCGGCGACCCTGATCCAACACTAGGCTCTCCCGGCCTCCACAGCTCCATCTTCACCGGCAACACCCTCAGCTCTCGACGCAGCAACATGTCCCGCAGCAACATGTCGCGCATCCCTTCGCGCGGCCTCCCACAATGGGGCTTCCACAACATGAATACCTCCCTCCCCCAATCTAGCGATTCCCCCTATTCCCCCTCCGAACACGAATCCGACACCTCCGACTCCGACCAAGACTCCGACACAGCAGCCTACACAAACCCCTCCCTCCCATCCCGCTCCCAACGCAAAACCCGCTCCCTGATCCCCGCTCTCCCGCCTTACGTCGACGCCCGCCCCACTATCAAAACATACTTTAAGATTTATAGCCCGTCAAAGGGAGGTAGGATGTTGAGTATATACGAGAGTGCGCCTGATCGGTTCAACTTTAGTCAGAGTTGGGGGTGGAAGAGTAGTACGCTTATGCTGGATGAGATTACGCTGAGTGGAGAGACCGAGGATGCGCTTGGGGGTGGGGGGTTAAACCCGCCGCCTGTGATCAAGAAGACGGATGGGAAGTTGCGGTTTATGGTCGTTATTGGGAATTTGTGATTCCACGACGTTGTTGTTGTTGTTTTTTTGCACAAGGATGATTACGCTTAGATATACTGATACCCGTGGGTGTCCTCTTTTTCATAGATTTTTGGGGAGGTCACGGCGTTTTTCATTTCCTATCTTCCCTTCTCTCTGAATCCGGGTTCATTAGACTGACGGTTTCGTTCTCACGAACCCCCTTTTTTCCTTGATTTCCCACACTTGGGTTGAGTTGAGATTTCCCATCCGTAGTTAACGCCTTTGAAATAGCAAACCCACATGATTTCCTCCTGCCATTAGTTCCGCCTTTGACTTATCGCATACATGATTTCCATAGTGACCCATTGATCCCCCCCCCTCCTCTCCCCTTCCCGTGTGTCCAGCCTTGATACCTTAGTCCCGACATTTGGATGTCGTCGTGCTGTTCCATATCCTATGTCTCCATCTCCTTATCTCCTTTGCCTTGTTCTTATCCTGCGCCGCGAGTGCAACGACCCACCTCCGTGAGAGCAAAAAGCCGCATACACACACACACACCTAGCGCCTTGCGCGGCGTCGCGGCGTAGACCTGCGGGGCGTCGCGGCACGTCGTACTTGATCGACAGCCACACGTTGTGCGTTATGTAGTTGACGCGTATGAATGTATGGGTCGATGTAGTGCTCTTCATGGTTTGCGGATGAGTCTTCCTCGTCGTAGTTGAGGGAGGGGTGGGTGGAGTAGTCTTGGTGGTGGTAGCGATGTTCGTAGGCATGATGCTGGGAGCCGTGACCGTGACCGTGACCGTGGCTGTGGCCGTGGCCGTGGGGGTGGTGATGGTGCGAGTGGTCGTGGTCGTGGGCACGATGCTCCGAGTGGTGGGAGTGGTCTTGATACTCGAAGCGGGCGTCGTGGGCACGATGATGGGAATGGTGTTCGTCTTGATACTGGGGGCAGTGCTCGTGGTCACCATACTTAGAATCGTCTCCATGTGCACGATACTGAGAACGTTCTTCGTGGGCACGATACTGGGAGCGGTGCTCGCGATCTTGATACTGGTGACGGTCTTCATAAGCTGGCTGCCGGAGGCGGTGCTCGGGCTGGGCCGCGTTGTACTGTGTTTCTTGGGCTGCGGTGTTGGCAGCTTTGATGGCACGAATATGCATAACGTATTCTAGGAAGCCTACATCTGGGGTATTAGGGTTGGCCTCTCGCTCGTTGCGGAGACGCGTGATGTAGTCTTCGACGGTCGCATCTAGAAGAACTGTTAGATTGCCATTTGAATGTTCAGAGACATGGTAGCGGTTGTGCTCGTGGTTGTGAGCAGATGGATACGGTTCAGAGGTTCGGTGCGACGAGAGGTTTGTTGATGGGACTTCATCTATGTTAGTATTCCTGTTAGTGTTGAAGTCAGACGCTCCAAGAGGCTGGTCAACGTCCATCAAGGCAGTAGTATTCTGTGCTCCGGTCAGATCTTGACACATGTTGTGTCCACCAGCTACAGGACGAGCAGTCGTGACGTGCTCTGAATGACCGTGGCGTTCTAGCCAAGCAGTGTAAGGATTTGGAAACTTATCCCATCGACTGGGTCTGGGTACTTCAGGCTCATCGATATCCATGGCGGAGTCCGTATCTGCGAGCTGCTCCGGCACCCATGGCTGGCAGATCTTTACGGAACTACCAGGCTCCAATGACGGGATACGGTTGAGATCCTGTCGCTGAAATCAGTCTCTTGGTCAGTGATTTTGGAAAAAGGGTGTTACTGGAGAAGCATCTGGATTGATGCGGGTACGAGGACATGTCCTGCTCCACACCACTGCGCTTTCATTCTCCGACGACGTGGCAGCCGAACCGATCTTTTTACCGTAGATATTTGGCAGCATGATCTCGTGGGCATCAGTATCGATCACCTTCCCATCGTCGATTCGAATGCGAATAGGGCACTGCTCTGCATGTACAGTCTTGTCGACTTTGTTCTCGCACCAGATCTTATAGCCTGCGCCTGCAGCGACAGGACGCTGTTTGGCGGCTAGGTCCCAAGATTTGATTTTCGCTTGCGCAATGGAGGTGTTGCAATCTTTTGTAGTCATAGTCTGAAATGAAGCATCCGAGTACGTCTTTCCGGTTTCTACAAGGATTGGAGCTAGGAACGGGGTGCTGGCAATGGTTTCATAGGGACCCGAACCGACGCCGGCTGTGTAGTGAGCGATGGCTTCGGTGACAGTTTCCTTGACTAGATCATCTTGATTGGGCTCGCGATTGTAGATGGTCTTGAACGCGTCAGTGTCACTCGGTGGCAGGCACTGTACTCCTGTGTCGCGATAGGTGACAATTCGTTGCGTGGGCGTGTCGATGGTTTGCTGGGTGGCAGGCTTGCTCTCTGACTTGCAAACAGTAGGCCAGGAGCAATAATCTTCTTCTAGATCTATATCCATGATGCTGCCAAAAGTCAGTATCTTGCACCTATGTTTTGATGGATACTGTGCTGTGAGGACTCTGGGTTCTTGATAGACTGACCCAAAAGACAGTTTTGACGTGAGTAAGATCTGATAGTAGACGGTGACTCCCGGTGAATATTGCTATACCCAGTGTGCCGCGTTTGTTGTTTGTCCTGAGTGACTGACGCGTATAAAGTCAGTTACTGTAGAACAACAGGAGGGGATATTGTCAAACGCACATTGGATCCTGAGTCCAATCGAAAGACTTCAAATCTCAAATCCAATGCAAAGATACTGTCCCGTTGCTGTAGTTGCTGCAAGAGGAGTCGCGGTTGTTCGATTGACTCTGCAAATTTTGCGAGATTTCACTTCACTGTGCTGCTTATTATATACTAACTGGCACTAGCATCGAAGAGGCAGTATCAAACAGACGCCCGTTGGAGATTACGCTCATTGATGTCATACTGGCTTTCACTCGTACTAGAACTAGAACCCTGCCTGTTGCCCTGCCAACTGACCCTATCTCGAGACTTTGGAACCATTCAGTAGTCTACGACACATCTCCAGCACTCGATTCCGGCATCTCATACTTATAATTTAGCTCCATAGGTGCCGCCTGCACCAGCTGCTTTGTCCACTCACTCGCCTTGAATGCACCATTCCTCCAGGAAAGCTCGACGTTGTTCAAGTCTGGCCACTGAAGAACAACTCGATGACCCATAGAATGCAAAGTCCCGAGTTCCTCGACTAGAGCATAAATAGCGCCGCTCAACTCGAACGCACTCATGCATCCAGTATGGGGCGCGTCGTATGTCTGGACGCGCATGAAGAACTCGACATGATTTGGCAGTCGATGGAAAAGTTTGAACACGTTCGTGAGCTTCTCATTTGCGTCTTTGACACTGCAGCAGGGGTTTTTCTTGTACTTGGTATGCAAGCGTTCTTCCACGCTCAGTTCGACACGAGCACGGCAGAGGAGATCCCGCGGCTTGATGTCGTGGCCCCATCGATCGGTCACAAGAAACCTCTCAATGACTTTTCTGTTGTTTCCCTTGTCGTAGAAATAGAACAGTGTCGTGCGGTACCAGCTTTCAATCATTTCTCTCTGCATCTCGGTTCCCACATACTGGGCACTCCAGTCATGTGCTTTTGCGTCAGATTCGCATGGCACTGTTGTCTTTCCAAAGTACTCGGGTCCAACGTAGATGGTTTCGTGAGTGTGTATGTATCCGTATATCATATCCCTGATCTCGCGAGGCAGAGCCTGGTGCACGCTTGTGCATATGGCATGGCATGTGCGTGGTGATAAAGGACGAAGTGCCGATGTATCTTTCTCTACCACTGGACTGGGTTCCTTTGGTTTTCTAGCCTGCATTTCCCTGTACTCTTGAATTTGTTGCATGAAAAGGCTGTGCATGTTAGAGCGGTTGATGCATCAGTGTATTGAACGGAAAATGCGCACTGCTGCAGGACTTGGGCAAAGTCCGGAGGGTTCTCCATCAATTCTGATTCCAAGTCTGAATCCGAATCCATGGTAACACGTAGTGAACGATAGGTCTACTTTCTTAAATTCTGTTTTGGTGAAATTTGCCAATGAGAGGACAGGAGTACACGCTAACTGGCGGTTGCAAGGCGGTTGTTATACGTGTGCTGGGACGAGACTTGTGGCGTTTTTGGGGGGTGGTTGCCTGACAGGCAGCCCCGCGAAAATGACTAGGACTATCTTCACATCGCCATGGTCACTGCGCACCCTTCTATGAGCTTATTAAAGTTGGAAATATTCGTTCATAAACGATCGATTTACCTTGTTTTTTCAGTGGCCACATGCCAACCACCCACAGGTGTCATGGTACGACGAGGTGGTGATGTCTGGCATTGATCCCACCTCCTACGTACGTACAGTGATTATCTCCTTGGCTTCTGCATCCATTGGTCGATAAAGAAGTTGGCAGTGCTTGGCTAAAAATAGCCCAAATTGCGGCAGAGAAGACGTGTTGAGTTCTTTTTCTTTTCTTGAATCCCCTTGTTTCAAGTAACCAGAGAGGAAATATTCTGTGTCTGACGGGGAGCCAATCAGCGAGGACGAACAGACTCAACGCAAGATCAGCATGCCGGTGCAGTGTCGATGCTCAGTTGTGGGGTAACCCAACAGGGTAATCTTCCGACCATCAGTCGAGATATTAGTGCGGAGTGAGCACCTGAGTAAGCAATCAGCAGCACCTTGATAAACACCATCATGGAGTGTGTAGGAGCAGAAAACACAACTCGTGTGTTTCCGAAATTTCAACAAAAATGAACATGGATATGTCAGTATGCGGGACATCTGAAAGTATTAATTACGATGGTCGCGTTACGTATGGGCAACTGCGGAAGCACACGTTCAGGTGCACATACCTTTAGACCTGCAGATACCACTGCTGACATGGCGGTTCAGAGTTTTGTCCGAGGAAAGCACTCGCAAAGCACGTGTAGCAGCTCTGAGAAAAGAGCTTGCTGTGCTAGAGTCAGATCTTGCCAGCATCACGCCCAACACACAGGACATGGTCGAGCAACTGGCGAGACGGGAATGTCTGGAACTCTGCAATCAGATTATGGGCAGATTGCCTCGGGAGGTGCGCGACATGATTTACCTTCATCTCAGCACGCGAGACGTCGAAATCATCGAGCGCGAGCATTTTCGAACCACATTAGACCCTTTGACGCTTTTGTACTCGTACAATTTCGAGCGATGGAAGAAGCAACACTTCCCAGAGCACTACTGGGATCCAAAGTACGTGTCAAAGCCAATGTACAATGAGCTGGTAGAAAACTACTATCGCACATCTACTTTTGTCTTTAGCGACGATTCTGGCGTCATGAAGCGGTTCCTCACGACGGATGAGATGCGTATCGGGCTGCTTCCGAAAGATCTAGTCGCAAATGTGGAGATAGGCCTCAACGCCGTGTCACATGACCGAGGATCTTTCCGTGCGTACATGTTCGGGGTACCAAAAAGTCCAGAGCGCATGCGGGAGGCGGTGGATGGGCTTTTCGAGCTCAAGGCGGGAGCTCGAGTGGTGATCAGATTTGTGACTGAGGCCAAGACAGAAGAGGAGAGGGACGAGCATTGTAGGGGGGCAATGGGGACGCTTTTTGATGTGGCGCAGAGGGAGAAGATGAGGAAGTACAAGGTCAAATTTGTGGTGGATGATGTGGGGGTTTGGGAAGTGGGAGAGGCCATGCGACACGAGCGGATGGCCATCCATGGCTAAACTGGGAGTGAGACAGGAGGTGTGTGGGATGAATAAACTGGCATGTTGCATTTCGCAAAACTCGCTCACCTAAACACCAAGCTGAGCTGAGCCGTGTGATTATCTCGCGCATGCAAGTATAGAAGTGAGAGGATAGTGAGATGGTATGTCAAAACCCAACACGAGAATTGCGCAACTGCTAGTGTCAGCGTGCGCTGCATTGGGGCTTTGGATGTGAAAGAGATAGTTTTTGGTAGACGTTTCTATAATTTCACAAAGCGCATGAATGAACTATGGAGTAGTTCAGAGGAGCTAAGAAAGTATCTTACTGCTTGATTGGTTGTGACATTGGGTTTAGGCTGTACACAGACTGTATGTAATTTACCAGCAAGATACCACCTCTTATAGTATTAGCCTACGAACCCCACAATCCTGTTTCTGATACGTTGCTCGCTTACTTCACGTTTTTCTTCTACATGAAATCCAGCAGTCAATACTCAGGCATCTCTTAAAATGTGACCTACCGCTTGCACGCAGCAAGTAAGATCACCATTGTAGTCAGCCGAACAGACGCCGCTCTCACACTCACGAGGAGAGGTACAAGGTTCTGTGCAAGTCAGAAAACATAGCGAAGTAACATAAGTTATACTAATGTCCGCAGTCTTTACGACAGTACCGCGTACCATGTCCAGGGAAATGGACAAGTCCTTAGTGGCAGGCTCGTTGCCATTGGATATGGCGATGGATCCGCGGGTAGTGCCATCGCCATTCTAAGCAAAGGAAGCGATTACGAATTGTGATTTTATAGTTGTATTTGACTTGGCTCGAAACATACTACAAGTCTAAATCTACTGTTGCTTCACGCCCAAATGCAAGCAGGCGTTCCCTCATCTCTTTTGTTACAATATCTTTTATTTGCTTACTTCGCTTACATCCTTGATGTGTACTCATAGAACAATCTAGGTTCATCAGAAGAAGGTGCTTAACAATGAATATCTCTGTATATAAAAACCAAACGAGATCGTAGTAAAATTGTAATGGTAAATGTTGAAATGAACTTTTTGGTCCAGGAAATTCACATATGCAGCATCTGTTGCCTAGACAGGGGCCTATGGATGTTCCGTTGTATGTGTCCACCCGTAGTATGTTCAATACTAACCCATCCTATATCTGTCACGGAGGGATAGACATCAGCAGCGAAAGAAAACCCGAACTAATTGTAGGCGAGAGGAAGGGTCGAGAAAAGAGCAGCATGTTTATAGCTTCAAGAGGCCACTGCTGCAAACATCAGTCAGGACTCCTTCTCTGACACTGGATGAGGAAATGAAATAGGCGCAGAAAGAGATTGTGGATTTCAGAAGTCTAGGTCAGAAGGTAATGATCACCGCGGTGCACTGATCACGTGATTGACGTCTACCGTTCGTGCTGACAGGGATTGATGGCAAGAGCTACCCCGCCATGGCAGAAATTGTTATCGCGCCCGTGTTAGCTGCCCCTCGTTGAATGCTTTCACGCGTCAATCTTGCTCCAAGTGCCTTCAAACTTCATAACATAAGTAGGATTTGGACGAGAAACATCTCGATTCCCTATCGCAGAATGGCTGGTGTTCCAAGCACGTATGACGGTACGCGTTCTCTACCACCAGTTACCCGACCTCGTACTAACTTGTCCTGCAGCACCCGTCCACATCGCCGTCATAGGCGGTACTGGCATTTCATCACTGCCGGGCTTCACTCTTGCTGCAACCCTTGACATTGATACGCCATGGGGAAAGCCATCTTCGCCAATCTCCATCCTGCAGCATCCGTCGCCCACGACTGGCAAGCCCATTCCTGTAGCCTTTCTTTCACGGCATGGCCTTTATCATGAGCTCGCCCCTCATGAGGTGAAGAACCAGGCAAACATTGCTGCACTGCGCCACATCGGCGTCCGCACCATCATTGCTTTTTCTGCCGTCGGCTCGCTGCAGGAACACGTGCGACCGCGCGACTTTTTGGTGCCAGATCAGATCATTGACCGCACAAAAGGCATCCGCCCATTCACTTTCTTCGAGGGTGGCATGGTAGGCCACGTAGGCTTTGGTGACCCCTTCGACAAGCGCCTAGCCGCTCTTGTCAGGCAATGTGGACATGCGCTCGAGGGTGAGGGCGTGACGCTGCACGACAATGGCACCCTCATCTGCATGGAGGGACCACAGTTCAGCACTCGGGCAGAGTCCAACCTCTACAGGTCGTGGGGTGGCAGTGTCATCAACATGTCTGCTCTTCCCGAAGCTAAGCTTGCGCGCGAGGCCGAGATTGGCTACCAAATGATCTGCATGGCCACCGACTACGATTGCTGGCGGGGAGATGGCGAGGAGGATGTCAATGTCGAGATGGTCATGGCCCACATGAAGGCAAATGCAGAGAATGCAAGACGCTTTGTGGGCGCCGTGCTGAACGAGCTAAGCAAGGAAGAGCATGTCGACCAAGTTCTTGCAAAGCACCTGGATGGACAGATGAGGTTTGCGGGCGCCATGACCAAGAAGGAAGGACGAGGACAGGAAGCGGAGAAGAAGCTGCAATGGCTATTCCCAGGCTATTTCGACTAGACTAAAGCGCTCATCAGCATGCAACCGACTCACGTACATACATAGATATCTGGCCGGATCTGAAATCTAGAGTGATGCAGTCTACACACGCAGCATCGGCAACGTTCTCCACCGAGCGGCGAATCTGAAGACATGGATGTGAGCGACATGCAAACGCCCCCATGCGGAAGGTCGGTAGCATCTACAACGCACCCACACCCAAGATCCCGTGCTTGCATCATACATACAAACCAAAACTGCTCACTAGGTAGAGTGTATCGATAACTATCCGTGACCAGTAGCCTCTCCCCTCTTCCGCGGCATCAAGCTTTTGATTCCTCAGTTTGCCCTCCTTATCACCTTCCTAGTTAGACAATGATCACCGCCAACACCTTCCGCAATCGCAGATGCATTTGTTTAACGTCCACGGCGCATATCCTACTACGCTGCTTGTTAGCCTCGCGTAGCAGCATCACAAACAGAGTGTTAGAAGAAAATTCTCTGCTCAGGTGACACAAGTGTACTACACGGCCTGAAAGGAGCAGAGTGTGACCGATTATCGACCCATCTGGAAATACGCGCATGTAGACCGTCACTGTTAAGCCCACAATACCTTGTGGCAAAGCCAAGTTGTGACATTTCCATGTGCTTATCATGGAAACTACGTAAGTACAGTACATCAGTATTGAACCTCCCCTGCCGGAAACGCGCTTGCAGGCTGATCCTTGTCCGACATGGGAACCGCGCAAGGGCCGACCTCGGGTCATCATAATACACATGGTTGTTATAACAGACATGAGACTGCCCCTTATCATGGATATGCACCCTCTCGACCATCTCCTCTAGTACAGCTCTCCTCCAAGACTGTAGTCGTTGCAACCAGCATCATGGTCTCAGCTTGGTTCTCGGCCAAGGTCTTTCTGGCCTTTGCGCCACTCCCGAGTGTGTATGCGCAGTATAACGGTACAATCGGCTTCCCTCCTCTTCTAGATGCTACGGCAGATGAGTTGGCTGCTGGTCTCGATGCTGGCGCATTCACAAGCCTGGATCTTGTACAAGTGAGTTCTTCTGGATTGGCTTGTTGTATCTCATTGCCGGACTTGGTGCTGACATGAAGCAAGGCTTACGTGGGACGGATCATTGAAGTCAACAAGACACTTCATATGGTTGTTGAGATCAACCCAGATGCATGGTCTATCGCGAAACAGCTTGATGAAGAGCGCGCTTCAGGCAAATCCAGAGGGTTTGTCATCTCAATCCGAGCTACATGACTCTTAGTGGCTAATCAGAAACAGACTCCTTCATGGCCTCCCAGTACTCATCAAAAACAACATTGCCACTGCTGATGAGATGAATAACACGGCTGGCTCTTGGTCTCTTGTCGGGGCCAAGGTCCCCCGTGATGCTACCGTTGCTGCAAAGCTCCGCAAAGCAGGTGCTATCATCTTAGGCAAAACTAATCTTTCTCAATGGGCCAATTACCGATCATCTAATTCTTCGAATGGCTGGTCTGCTCAAGGCGGTCAGACATACGGCGCATATTTCCCCGGACAGGACCCTAGCGGCAGCAGCAGCGGGAGTGGTGTCGCTGCCAGCATAGGGCTGGCATTTGGAACATTGGGCACTGAAACCGATGGGTCAATTCTTTCGCCGAGTCAAGTGAACAACATTGTCGGCATAAAGCCCAGTGTTGGTCTTACAAGCAGATCACTTGTAATTCCGATTTCAGAACATCAGGATACGGTTGGGCCTATGGCTCGCACGGTCAAGGATGCAGCCTATATTCTACAGGCGATCGTTGGTCCCGATCAGTACGACAACTACACTTCTGCAATTCCTTGGGCAAAGAATACAACCAACGCCACAGTGCCCGACTATGTCTCTGCCTGTAGGCTAGATGCTCTAGTAGGAAAGCGCATCGGTGTTCCACGAAATGCCATCGGTTCACCTCGTACCTCTACTGCACCCATATATGCCGCTTTTGAAGCCGCTCTTGATGTTCTGCGTTCTGCCGGAGCCATCATTGTAGAAGGAACAAACTATACCGCATGGGACCAGTACCTCGAATCCAACGCTGAAGGTATTGTGCTCGACGGCGATTTCTCGCCCAATCTTGCCAGTTACCTTTCCCAACTCACATACAACCCCAACAACGTTACGACCCTGGAAGATGTGAGGAGCTTCACTCAAAGCTTCCCTGCAGAAGCGTACCCAAACAGGGATACCGCGCAGTTTGACAGCTCCATCGCACAGTCCCAAAACTTCAGCAACACTGATGCACAGTTTTGGGCTGCATACCAAGAAGACCTCTACCTCGGCGGTGAAGGCGGCCTCCTTGGTGTACTAGCAACTTACAATCTCGATGCCGTGGTACTTCCCTCGCGTGTCGCATCTGGTATCTCTGCCATTATTGGTGGACCTGTTGTCACCGTTCCACTGGGTGTGTACCCTGCCAACACGACGGTGATCACAAACTCACGCGGTGACTTGAATGCCACGGCACCGAATGCCCCATTCGGAATTTCCTTTGCGGGGAAGTTGTGGAGCGAGGAGAGTTTGATTGGTTTTGCGTATGCGTTTGAGCAAAGGACTATGGTTCGGAAGACGATTAAGCCGTATATTCAGCCCAATATTGAGATTGAGAATGTAGTAGGTAGTTATTAGAGGAGGTTTATGGTAGGAGTGAAACTTGGTCTAAATGAACTTTTATTGTGGAAGGGAGCAGACGGAGTGTCAGTAAGATGCGTGATAGAGTTACGGTTGTCCAACAAGGTTCTGACACTAATGCTCGAGCACTTTTCTTCGTTTACAGAAACAGTGTCAGACGTCCATAATTCATACATCTTTTTCATGTGCAATGAAACTCTCTCACATCTCAGAATCATGTCCATCATTTTCCTCTCAATACTTCAACTTATCATCGGCACCATTGCATTCTGCCGAGGCCCCCACTCGATACATAATACTCCGTTTCACCATTGTCAACACGAGGGGAACAGAAGCGAAGGGCTGGAATAATCGCCCAAGGACGGTATACATACACATGCGTTGGAGATAGCGCAGCCCTGGGAGGACATACAATTATGAGGCTATCCAGCTGAGCGACAAACGGCAGTCAAGATGGTGTTGATGGCGCACGAAACTCATGACGCAATTGGCGAGTCTCGAAGCTCCCCAGTGGCGCCGAAGCTCTCCGCCACCCCTCAGTAATCAGCTCGCAGCTGGACAAAACACAGCCTCAAATTACCAACACGACGACTCACATATCCTCCCTCCACATGCGCTTCCCTTCCTTTCCAACCTTTCTCCGCACGATTCACACGGTAACAAATACAACAACTGCGTTTCTTCGATCAAGCCCCGCAACTGGTATTGGCCGCACCATCTACAACACCCCTCAGCGCGCAGTCCTGTACCGTTCGATGCCAAACATTCCCTTCTTGGGCGCTCTTTTCGGATCTTCTAGCAGCATGTCCGACAACACCAACTATCCAGTCCAGAAGCCTGAGGGCGAATGGCAGGCACAGCTATCGCCTGGTATGGTTCCTGATGCTTTCCACTATAGCTATAACGATGCTGACATTTCCCAGAGCAATTCCGTATCCTCCGAAAGAAAGGCACTGAGCCACCCGGCTCCGGAAAATACGACAAGCACTACCCGGACGCAGGCGTCTATACCTGCGGTGGATGCGACGCACCTCTTTACAAAGCAAACCACAAATTCGACTCTGGTTGCGGATGGCCCGCCTTCTGGGACGCCATACCCGGCGCTGTGGGACAGAAGCCGGATCCCGGTCTAGGTATGATGCGGACTGAGATTGTGTGTAACAATTGTGGAGGTCACCTTGGACATATTTTCAAGGGAGAGCGATTTGGGAACCCCAAGGATGAAAGACATTGCGTTAACAGTATTAGCATCAATTTTAGCCCGGAGGATAAGAGCTGAAGCCTGGATATGAAGAGACGGGGGAAAGAGAGGCTGTGGCGATATGCGTACCGTTGATGTCGAAATGAGAGAATTATTTTAGCGACTTACTTCCGCCTCACCTGGTCTGCGCATCTGTTTCGCAGCATTGTATCGCTGCTTGCTTTCACTCTGTGCTCGTCATGCGTCTAAAGATACCAATTGGTAAAACATTGTTGTAAAACTTACAAGTGAAAACTAGGCACAGTACAATCGCATAGCACAGATGAGTATAACAAGCACCTAACTACTGTGATTATATTATTTCTGCTTCTCACGCACAGGTTCTTCATTCGGCAGCAACGACCAGGCTCGCAGACATAATCATTCATCAGATAACTTGACTTGATTCAGCAGTACGCCTATAGTGCCTGATCCAGCTTCAGCCACTGCGACAGATCCTCCTCTATGCGGCATTTGTCCCAACGGAGCTACAATCACGTGTTCGGGATGCGATAATATGAAGTACTGCTCGGTCACCTGTCGACAACGCGACGCCGCGCCGCACAGCATACTCTGCAGCACTTTCCAAAACTTCAAAGAGCGCCCCAGCCCCAATCATTTCCGTTCCATCTACTTCCCAGTCAACGAACTCAACCCACGCTTCATCTAGCTGCGCATGACGGGCACGCGCGGCTCTCATCACGCGGACAATACGGACCTATCGCAGTATGTGTCTGGAAACCGATCCGGTAGCATATTCACCTGCTCGCATTACGGAATTACTCCAGAGCGCGAATACAAGAACATTATTACCGTTCAGCACGATCAGAACATGTTTGAATACAGCCAGCCAGTCAATCAATGCCTCGTCCGTCTTCTTGGCTCTGAAGCGTATCGCTGGCGAGGGGCATATGTGGGTCATGGATACAAGTACACTGTAGTGGTACACCCAGATGATTTAGACGATACCGACGGCGAGGAGTTTGATCATCCTTTGGTTGCATTGGATCTGGATACGACACGCCTGGGTCCTTTGGTTGCCTATTTTTCAGAGCTGCTGCGTAGGGAGAGGGTGGCTAGGGCATTTTGGGCACCTGCTGCCTAGGCGTTCGTGATGTTGGAGGAAAGGTAGGGTTCAAAGCATTCACCTGCAGTCATGCAAGTCAGAGATGCAGAGATTAGTTCACTAGAGTAGTACTTGAATTCAGTTCTCATTTAGCACCTCTTGGGCATCTCCCGATTTGGACATTGCGATTCAGTGCATGTTTCTTGTATAATAGTCACGCCGGACTTAGGCCCCCACGGAAATAATAAATGGCCGAGTGGCAACAACCCTAGATTGCTCTCGAAGCGCCCACCACTATCAGTCAAATTTTCACCAATAAAATGCCTACGTTGATATTATCGATGTCGCGCTACTATGCGCGGCCGAGACGCCCGATCTTGGTACTGGATATGCACACGCAAATGCTAGACTTTCTTTTCTTCTCTCTTTGGCTCACAGTCTGTGCCTGGTCTTATTAGCACACCCGCTGAGCTGATGGTATCTAGCTCTCAAGATACAAACGGGGCATCCACCTCTCGAGTGGCGTCTGGCTACGGCGCCACTCGCACAGGTTTCAGAGATGACTCAGGCGAGCAAGAGTCACAATACAACTCGGAAACTGCCCGCTCAGCAGCAGACACCAGAAATACATCGCGGTCCATAGAGAGCAACACAGACGGTGTCGGAGGTTTTTCTAGCAACCGAAAAAATAGGTCACGCGACCTTTCCATCAACACCAATGTTACCGACGCAAACACTCGGAATAGCGACGAGACAGGGAAGACCGAATCAGCGAACAGGCCCGTATCATGGAGTGCACTTCCGCGCAAAGATCAGCTTCTAGTATTGGTCCTGGCACGACTTTCCGAGCCCTTGACGCAAACATCACTGGGTGCATACCTCTACTACCAACTGCAATCCTTTGATCCTTCTCTCTCAGAGTCAACCCTCTCGTACCAAGCAGGAATCATCGGCGCAACGTTTCCCGCGACTCAGTTTTTGACTGCCATGCTATGGGGTCGCTTTTCCGACTCCGAGTACGGCGGTCGCAAGCGGGTCATTTACCTTGGTCTAGTAGGCACCATGTTGAGCACCATCGGCTTTGGATTCTCGCATAGTTTTGCCATGACAGTGTTCTTCCGGAGTCTGGGTGGGATAGTGAATGGCAATATTGGAGTTATGAGGACGATGATTAGCGAGATTATCAAGGAGAAGAAGTTTCAGAGTAGGGCGTTTTTGCTCATGCCGATGACGTTCAATGTTGGAGTGTTGATCGGACCGGTGTTGGGTAGGTGAAGTGTAAATGGGTTTCATAGCACTGCTAACGTGAGTAGGTGGTATACTTGCAGACCCCGTGGCCAACTACCCATCGTTGTTCGGACCAGACTCTACGTTTGGTGGCAAGCATGGCGTGCAGTGGATGATGCGGTATCCGTATGCGTTACCTAATCTTGTCAGCGCCATGTTTTTGTGTCTATCATCATTAGCAGTTCTATTTTTCCTGGAGGAAACTGGTGAGCTCTGCAAAGATCGACCTGATTTTGGCCTTCGAATGGGACGCTGGATCCGCCGGAGAATATTCCGCCAGGACATCGCCTCTGAACGAGGCTACAGCATGATCCCCAGCCACGACCTAGAACTACAGCAAACGCCTACATCGCCTACTCTTCATCAAATCGATAAACCAAGCAAGCAGGCCCGCCAACAACTTGCCTTCCGCCGCATCTGGACCCCCAACCTCATCATGACACTGCTTGCCCATGGCGCTCTCTCCATGCACGTAGGCACCTTCAACAGCCTCTGGACCTTGCACCTTTCCACCCCACGCTTCGACCCCAAGGATCCCTACCCCCCGTCCTTCAAACCCCACGGCCTCTTCTTCACCGGCGGTCTAGGTATGCCCCCCTCACGCATCGGCCTTGCCCTCGCTGTAATCGGCGCCATCGGTCTTCCTCTCCAACTCTTCGTCTACCCGAAAATCGCTCACAGGCTCGGTACCACGAACTCGTTCCGCGTCTTCACCGCCTTTTTCCCTCTCATGTACTTCGTCACCCCTTTCTTGAGTCTCGTGCCTAGCTGGACGCCTCCGCCACTTGGGGTATCTGGACCGTGGATTTGGACCGCGATTACGGCGGCGTTGTCGATTCAAGTCTTGGCACGCACGTTTGCGCTGCCGTGCACGGCGATCTTGATTAATAATGCGAGTCCGCATCCGTCTGTGCTGGGGACTGTACATGGGATTGGGCAGTCGGTGTCGAGTCTTATGCGGACGTTTGGGCCGGTTTTCTTTAGTTGGTTGTTTGGGAGGGGTTTGGAGAGGGGGATGGTTGGGTTGGCGTGGTGGTGTATGGGGCTTGTGGCTGTAGGGGGATGGGTGCTTGCGCAGGGCGTTAGGGAGGGGGACGGGTATGAGATTTTACTTGAGGGGGAGAGGAAGGAGGGTGAGTGAGATTGAATGACATTTTTTTATAGTGATAGATGTCTGCATCTTCGACGATAGAGAACATAGAATGAGCCATTTTCGCAGTCATTTGAAACTAAGATTTATGTCCTGATCGAACATGTGAAGTCAAAACAATACATACTTCTGCTTCCTGCACTCCCGCATAACAGATCGCGCTATCTATCTGCAAGGTATGACAAACTTTCATCGGACCGGGGGCGGATGAACTCAAATAGTCAGCTTGCCCTTCTTAGATTTCGCCTGCAGGGTGCGGATAGTGCCGAGGCGGGGATACGGCCATGGCGTAATGTGGATACTATGCATAAACGTAATGGGTGGGTTAAGTGCAGCGGGTCGTGGTGGGTTTTTACTTAAATTGACAGTTTTGATAGTTTGTAATGGCAAGTATTTCTTCTCTTTGAGTTCCATCCTGTCCCAAAGCTTATTTTCGCAACAGTAGTACTATATTTATCAGATTTGTAATGAAAGCGCATCTGGTTGGACATAGTGTAACTTGGTAAACCTTTACCTTCTTGGCTTCCTGCTTAGTTACTACTTGGATGAGCAAAATAGACCCTTGTTGGATCGCTGGATTTATAAGAGCAGAAAAATCACCGTCTACAGCGATGTAGGTAGCTTTTGCACCTACGTCGTCTATCGAAAGGTATTTGAAAACCATAGAAGATGCATGGTTTGAAAACCTCATCTCAGACATCATCTCTTCAAGGAGGTAAATAGGCGAAACCCTATAATTCCATCTCCGCTTTTGGTAGGAGAAAAACAATAGTCTCGTTTTGTACTACATATGCTAGATGAAGTATGAACAACAACACCTATCACTGCAAGTTCGAATAATATCGTCATGCCGAGAATGCGGGTCCCGGTACCCCTTGATAACAGAAGAAGCACGATATCACCAACCAACCACTTAGTCACACTGACTCATCTCTTCGGACATCTTTATTACCCATGATAGTGGGTGGTCAGCACCAGGAGACACGAGCGTAACCTCGGCGTCCAAACGACGTGCCCTCACAAAAGAATACTACCCCGCAGTAACCCCGCAAGCAGTACTACGATCAACTAACCTCATGATTGGGTGAACCACCCTTCCCATACGCAATGCAAATACAGTTATCTGCTAAAGGCCCACTTGATCCGCTCTATGAGCCTAATGAGGGTTGGTGATGTTCAGGTTGGGAATACGAATTGCGGGTTTGCACGGCAGGCGGCTAAAAGCTGTGCAACTTGGCGGTCTCATGTCGATCGGATGAGGGGGGATTATGAATACTACCCGAAGCCAAAAAGGCAATTTGGGTTACACGGAAGTGGGATCTTTACGTAGCCGGTGCTTGGTATAGTTTGAATCCAAAGTTTATATTCAGGTTCGGGTACGACGGATTGCGAACATCCCCGACGTAAAAGACAGAAGACTTACTTCCAGATATCTAGAATCACCTTTCCAAGCTGGGGGTAGCCTAATCATACTTAAAGTTCGAATATGGCACCAGATCTCAATGGTGTAGCCAACGGTGCGCGATGGGACTACTCAACCCCGGGATCAAGCGGATATAACGTTCCGGACATCATCTACAATGTAAGTCTAAAAAATACAATTCCATGCGTAATGTCTTCGATACTAACGACAACTAGGACCCCTCATCGCGAAAGTTAAGAGTCCTGACCATTGGTGCTGGGTTGTCCGGCATACAATTGGCATACCAAATACAAAAGCACACGCAGAATGTAGAACACGTAATTTACGAGAAGAATGCAGGCCTTGGAGGTACATGGCTCGAGAATAGATATCCAGGTACGCTTCACCAAGAACATGCCCGTATACACGGAAGTAATTATTGTGGTAGGATGCGCATGCGACATCCCCTCACATGCCTACACCCTCAACTTTGCACTGAACCCGGACTGGCCCCGCTTCTTCTCCTACGCCCCTGATATCCTCAAGTATCTCGAGAAAGTCTGCGATGTCTTTGATTTACGCAAGTACATGACATTCAACACTGAAGTGGTCCGTGCAGAGTGGCAGGACGAAGCTGGAAAGTGGAAAGTCACACTACGGCAGAAGAGCCCTTCGGGCGAGGAGCGAGAATTCGAAGACGAATGCGATCTTTTGCTTTATGCCTCGGGTCTCTTGAATAACTACAAGTGGCCGGGTATCAAGGGTATCAATAGCTTCAAGGGACGCATAGCGCATACAGCTGCTTGGCCACAGGACTACCAGGCCGAGCAGTGGAAAAACGATCGCGTGGCGGTTATAGGCTCTGGTGCTTCGTCGATCCAGACTGTACCCACCATGCAACCGCATGTTAAGCACATGGACGTTTTCGTCCGCACGGGCGTGTGGTTCGTCCAGATTGCGAATAACTTCGGTCAGAACAAGGAGTACTCGGAGGAAGAACGCGACGAATTTCGACGGGACCCACGGAAGTTGGTGGCGCATGCTAAGGATATTGAGAGTCAAGTGAATGGGCTCTGGGGTACTTTTTATACTGGTAATCCGATGCAGGCGCAGGTGCAGGATGCTCTTCGCGAACGAATGAAGGAGCATATCAAAGACGAGCGGTTGTTGCAGGGATTTACGCCAAAATTCGAGGTGGGGTGTAAGTTGCTCGCTGAATACTCACAAAGTCGGATGAATACTAATAACATCTCCAGGCCGCAGAATCACACCAGGCGACCCCTACATGAAAGCCATCCAAGAACCCAACGTGGACGTACACTTCACCGCAGTCAACGAAATCACCGAAAATGGCGTCATTGGCGCCGACGGCATCGAGCGAGAAGTCGACACGATAGTCTGCGCAACAGGCTTCGACGTAACCTACCGCCCGCGCTTCCCCATCATCGGCAAAAACGGCATTGACCTCGCCGAAAAGTGGAAAGACGAACCAAAAGGCTATCTCGGCCTCGCATGTCCAGACTTCCCTAACTGGCTCACGTACATCGGCCCTACCTGGCCCGTAGAAAACGGATCAGTGACGGGCCCCTTACTCGCCGTGACAGAGTACACCGTGAAAATCATCAAGAAGATGCAGCGCGACCACATCAAGTCGTGGGTTCCCCGCCAAGACATCACCGATCAGTTCAACGAGCATGCGCAAGAATGGATCAAGCATACCGTCTGGAAAAGCGAGTGTCGCTCCTGGTACAAGAACAACGACACAGGCCGCGTCAACGCCGTGTGGCCCGGTTCATCGAATCAGTACGCCGAAGTCATCGAGATGCCGCGGTACGAGGACTTTGAGGTTGAGTATTTGCATAAGAACCCCTGGGCGCATCTGGGTATGGGGTATGCGGTGTGCAATGCAAAGTTTCCGGATAGCGATGTTAGTCCGTATTTGCAGCTCGAGAATATTGATCCCAAGTGGCTTAAGGCGATTGGGTATGAGGGGCTGGCGAAGGAGGTGGAAGAGGTGAGGAAGGAGAAGGAGGAGCCGGCTGTGGAGAGGAAGGCGACGGATGCGGGTGTTGTGGGAAATGAGGATACGTTGACGTAGGGAGATGATGAGTGTAAGGTTTAGACTTGGGTTATCGTTAGTAACACTAGATTGAAAGGGAAGGTTCGGCTTACTTCCAGAAGAACGCTAGGTTGTTTGCTAGTACCGATATTGACCTTCCATGTCATGTGACATTTATCTTACTCTATCCTGACCAAGCAAACTACCGTCCTGACCAAAGCCCAAAACCACGCCGAACTCATATTGCTTTTCCCTTTCTCTACCCTGCAAACCCATTCAATTAGCCCGGGCACAAGTCCAAGCGCCACTTCATTGGAGACGAAAAAACGCAGGTACCACGCGTGCGCCATGTCTCGCCCATATTACTTTTTACAATCTTCCGCCACGCCATCGTATCCCAGGCCCTTGAACCACCTTCCCGGGACCTTCCCTCTACCGCCTAAAATTACCATGTGCACCCAAAGAGCACCAATGCATGTCATTCGCGTGCCAGTATAAGCCCACGCAATCAAAACCCCTCAACACTAATGCTGGGAACCCAGATTCCTCGATCCGCAACTAGGCACATCCCGGCCCGACGTCCATGTTGCGATGTTCAAAAAGAAAAGAAAAATGTCGCAACCCNCCCCCCCCCCATCCCGATCCAATCGACCCGGCGTTCCCTTTTCCCCTTTGCCCTAACAGCCCCCTGTCCCCCGCACTACTATCTCCACCCAATCAGCATCCCCGCACGTAACGTTGGGACTTCGCTCGCCGATATAACCCCGACGACTACTTAGCTACAAACTACTCCGACGCTTCTCGGCTCGACCACCCCGAATCCCCCCCCCCTTCCCTACGATACTAAACACACTACTATGGACACAAAGCAGCGCCAGACCCACTCTGCAGGAAGTGTCCCCAACACCGGAAGCATCCCTCCGCGCATCATCATACACGGCGGCGCAGGAAACATCACTCGGGGATCCCTGTCCCGCGAGACTTATGAGCAATATCGTAGTGCGCTGCTGCGTATTCTCGATGCTGCGGCGAAAAAGCTCGTCGATCCGGGTGCGACGGCGCTGGATGTAGCTACGTATGCGGTCACGCTGCTGGAAGAAGATCCGTTGTTCAACTCCGCTCGTGGCGCTGTGTTTACGCGCGGTGGCAAGAATGAACTCGAAGCTAGCGTGATGGTATCCGATGGGTATAGGAAGCGCGGTGTGGGATGTACGTTGTTGAAACGAGTGAGGAATCCGATTCAGCTAGCTAGGGAGCTCCTGGTGCGGGGGGAGGAGGTGGATGGGGGTGGGGGAGCCGGGGATCATTGTTTTTATAGTGGAGAGACTGCCGAGGGGCTGGCAAGGAAATGGGGGTTGGAGATTGTGGATCCGAGTTGGTTTTTTACGCAGAGGAGGTGGGATGAGCATTTGAGGGGGTTGGAGGAGGAGGGGAAGATGATAGGGGGTGGAGGGGCGGCACAGGGGACGAGTGAGTGGGAGAAGAATCATTATGTTCCGCTGGGGACATGCGGTGCTGTTGTTGTGGATGGCTATGGGACTATTTGTACTGCTACGTCTACAGGTGGCTTGACGAACAAGGTTGATGGACGCGTTGGTGACACACCGACTATAGGAGCTGGGTTCTGGGCTGAAGAATGGTACGAAGACGCTCCGGCCGCAAAGATGCTGTATCAACCTGTTCCGCAGGCTATGGCACCGATAGACAAGCTCTCTAGAGGCGACCTGTACGGTGCGCTTGACGGCTGTCTGCCAACGCTGGGCTCATCTTCTTCAAGACAAGCTGCACCAACACCAAGTCCGGAGAATAAAGAACCTACCCCTATTCGCCATGCCATGGGTCTTTCAGGGACCGGCAATGGCGATTCCTTCCTCCGCACATCTGCCGCTCGAACAACAGCTGCCAAATCTCGCTTTTCTTCGCAACCTCTCAGCGATGCAACCACATGGATGGTCGGCCGCGGTGGCGAACTCCAAAAAAGTGCCGGCAACCGATGGGACGGAGTCCACGAAGGTGCCGGCGGAATCATAGGCATCGAGCTTGTTGGGAATAAAGTACAAGTCGTCCAGGACTACAACTGCGGCGGCATGTTCCGCGCCTGGACAGAGGAGAATGGAAGTCGCAAGTGTTCAATCTTTCGCGAAGATAAATGGGAGAGCGGACCGCAGAGTTGGCGAGATATCTGAAACAAGCTTTCGTTATAGTCGGACCGTCAATAATCGCGATAAAGTCTATTTTCTATTTCCGGCACTGCCGAATATACAAGGATTATACTGTATCGTCTGCGGACTTTTGTTGGCGATCTGTCAGGTTGATAGTGTCGGATTGATTTGAGCGAGAGTCTTTTCCGGAGTTTGTGACAGTGTATCCCGTTGATTGCCACTTGAGGCCATAGCCAAGCCACTTTGCGAAATGCGGAAAGGTAGGGAAGGCGCCGCAGAGGAGGAGCGCGGAAATCTCAATGATGGCGCAGATTGCGACGACGGCAAGCCAGTATGTGTTGTCTTTGCTGTCGAGGTGCAGGGTGGTGTAGTGGAGGCGGACTGCACTGCTTATGCATGCGCTGGTGCGATGATTAGTTTTACTTCTTCGTCTCTGGCGGAAATGACTTACAGAAGCGCAGCTCCAAAGATACCAGAGACGGCAATCTTCTTCTTGATGCTCATTTGTAGCCGTGAGACGGCGTAGATGGGAAGGAACAAAAGAGCAACGTCGGTCACTAGGTTGATAATGCCGCTCAGAAGACTCGGGCTGGCATGAGTAGGAAGGCACGTTCCTGGGATGAATGGGTCCCACTTCTTCTTTATGGGGTTGCAAGGGAAGATCCAGGTGAACAGGCTTGCGGTATAGACGCAGCTGAAGGAGACGATGCAAGCCCAACATGACCAAAACATGAAGTCTCGCGACTTGCTGTCAAAGGTGGACTTGATCTGAAGAAGCACACCGAGCTTTGTGGTGTACATGGCGATGCAGTAGACGATTTGGACCCAGTAGGCGCGGTGTAGAGCACGCATGCCTTCGCCGACGGTGACATTCCATTGGTGCTTGCCAAAGCCCATCTTGATGCTGTCCAAGGTGACAGAAACAAAAGCAAAGTACGTGAGTGCTGCGGCAATCATGACTACGTCATTGAAGGTGAAGAGTCTGGTGAGATAGGCTCTGGTGAAGATACGGATCATCATGGCGATTCCGGTAAGGGCGAAGCAAGTGATGATGATGGGCAATCCCCAGGGCCAGATAGTAGGGGCGTTGGGATCGAGCGGCATTTCGCCGGTTGGCGGCATGAGGGCTGGACAGGCGGGATCAGGTCGCTCAGCGCCTAAGCACTTGGCAAGCATTTCCAGCAGTTCCATGGTGACGGTGGTAGCTGTGCTGTCGGGGAGAGGCAAAGAATGTTGTCTGAGAAAGATGATGTCCGAGTCGAAACTAGGCTATGGCGACAGCGACCAGCCATATACATAGTCTGGGTACAGAGCAAAAACACTAGTAGTAGCCAAAAATCAATTTCCAAGCTCCAGTCTTGTACACTGGTGCCGCGCCATGTTAGTGCGACAATGGACATGGTTAACAGACAGGATGCCATGGCGAGTTGATGAGACTAGCGACCTGTGGCGTGCGGGTCGGGCTGCAAGGGACCACTAGGAATATTTACGCGCAATAGGGGCGGGAAGCACTTGGTGAGGGGCGCTTCATAGTCGCACTCGGAGCATTTTCCCAACGACCGGCTGTCATTCGTGTCTACTGGTTGAATGCCGAGTTTGACGGATGACGGTGGTGGTGCCTCTTTGTGGTTGTTTAAGATCAATGGGTCACACTTGGTTTTTCTCGAGCACCAGGAGGGTCACAGACAGCAGGCTGGAGGGTTTACACAATACGACTAGATGGTAGTACTATTTCGGGGACTGGTCGGCGGGTTGCTTGGTGGTAGAGGTGAGGACAGGGCTGCGCGATGCTACCGGATGGCGATCCTCCGTAGTCGATCGACGGGTAGCGTAGTGGAGATGCAGGTCAGGGTGCCACGAGGCAGCAACGGGGGGCATGACTAATACGAGGGGCGCCGCGCATCCTGCTGTATACAAACAGGTGGTTGATGGTTGTGGGCAGTGTTGCGGTGGTCGGGTGGGTAGTATAGTGTAGAGTAGTATGGATTGGGCGAGGAAGATGCAGGCCAAGCAAAGGCTGAGGACGCGTCGGATGTCGGATCGGACGAGGGCGACTCAGCCACACTATGACATGGTCCCCCGCGCTGACCCGCCATATTCCTGCCACCCGCTCCAGCACCGCATGCACAACACGCTCTCTTTCACTCTTGCACACATACCCTACATCCACCCCTAGTAGCGCCTCGTTTCCTACCTGCCGCTCCACGGAGAGCACACTACCGCCGCCATGGGCTTTAGTCTCAACAACCCGCTGCCGTCGTCCATGGCCAGTAAGTCATGGGCTCTGTTGCTGTTTCGGCTAGTGACGTCGCTGATACAATCTTCTCTCCAGGCGAATGTCGCAAGACGGGAAAGATCCTGGCCTCCTTTGTCGACCCGCGACAGGCTTTTGGGCCCGACAAAATCATCCCGCCAAACGTACTTGCAAACGCAAAGGTAAAGTCTTGTACTACTGGTTTCCTTTGCGCTATGCGATCCGCTTGGGCGCTTGGGCTGCACAACATTTTGTACTGACTGAACATGCTCGGTAGGGCCTCGCCATTCTCACTGTTTTCAAGGCTGGCTTTCTCGGCACTGCGCGATTTGGTTCCGGCGTCGTCGTCGCACGTCTTGCCGACGGATCATGGTCGGCGCCTACAGCTATCGGTACTATTGGAGGCGGCTTTGGCGGACAGATCGGCTTCGAGCTCACTGACTTCGTCTTCATCCTCAACGATGCCTCCGCCGTGCGAACATTTGCTCAGGCCGGTTCCCTTACACTAGGAGGCAATGTCTCCATTGCCGCAGGACCGGTCGGTCGCAATGCCGAGGCTGCCGGCGCAGCCAGCTTGAGGAGCGTGGCGGGCATTTTCAGCTACAGCAAGACAAAAGGCTTGTTTGCGGGAGTTAGTCTTGAGGGCAGTGGTATAATCGAGCGCAGAGATGCCAATGAGAAGCTTTACGGGCGCCGGTGGACTGCCAGGGAACTCTTGAGCGGCCAAGTCCCTCCGCCACCAGCTGCTGAGCCGCTCTTGCGTGTCCTCAACTCCAGAGTATTTTCCGGTGTAGGAGGAGCGCAGAGCGTCACCAATGATGCCATGTACAACGATATTCCTGTTTATGATGATGCACACGACAATGTGGTCTGGCAGGGCCGCCGCGGCTCTGCCATGGGTGAAGGTGTACGACGAGATCGCACTGGCTCAATGGGCTCACAGCATGACAACTACCAGTACAGGGACCACCAACAAAGTTCTTCTTGGGCAGACGATGTCTACGACCGACAGCCATCATCTGCACCTGGTGGTCTCAACCGCTCATTTTCCACCCGCGCAAACCCTACCGAGACTTTTGATCGTATCGACTCACGGAACCGCGCCTCGACGTTTGGCGATGACTACTATTCGTACAGTGATCGCAAGCCTGGACGGCCCTCTGCCCCGAAGCCGGTCTTTGGTCAGACCACTGGACAGAAGAAGGCGAGCTTGCAATCTGACCAAGCTATAGCAAAATTCACCTTTGATGCTGATCAACCGGGCGATCTCGGCTTCAAGAAGGGCGATATCATCACTATTATCAAGCGCACCGACAACGAAACCGATTGGTGGACAGGTCGCATAGGAAGTAGGGAAGGTATCTTCCCAAGGTACGTCTGGACTGCGCTCGCTACAAACTCGTATTGCGCTAACTTTCGAAAGTAACTATGTCGAAACTGTTTAAAAGATGGAGTGGATGAATCGTCCATCTAGCCCATCTGTTCATCGATGAAGATGATATCTGAAAGTTTTGCAAATTGTCATGGCTTTCTAAAGCAACTACTGCAATTTTGTCGCCTCACACGAAGACATTCGTGCCGTCTGTACATACGCCTATACCTCTCCCGTCTCCTGTACTACACTTTCCTTTGCCATTTTTGTCCGCAGATACCTTTGTAGCGTACTCTAGCATCGAGCTTATTTACTCCTGATAGATGAGCCCAAAGAAACCATCAAAGTTAACTCATATCATGTGCCGTGGATCGGCTGGTCAGTCGCGGCCTGTTAGCCTTGGGCATCTATGAAACTCTGTTGCCTAGCTGCAGCTCTTAGTCCACGGCAACCACAATAGCTGCCCCATCGGCTTTCGATTGGGACACTTCCAACGAAGAACAGCCGCATGATTGGTCGGGCACAAAACCTCTACTTATCATTGGTTCTGAGAAATCTGCCGACATGTCAATGAATCGCTTCCATGCGTGTGTCAAACTTAGATGGCAACTAAATAAGCCTCAAACGACGAACCTAAGAATCGCCATTTCTTTTTATCCCAACGCTTAGTTAGTTGACGGCTGCTGCTCCTAGCGGAAGCCACACAGGCACGCAGCATGTCGATAGGCGAGAATTTAGTGGGGGAGGTAGAACCCCTAGTCAGTTTGAGGAGAGAAGAGGGAGAAAAAAGAGGCAAGTGTTTATCCCCTTTGGGTCCACATGGTATTGTCTGCCTGACTGTACTGGGAAATTGAGTTATCTTCACTATATGTAATTCCTTTTTTCTCTTTTACTCTCTTCAGTCCGTTATCCTTGGCTAGATCCCTACGCACCACACATTTGTATACGTTCCCCCACTCTCTTAACCTACAGCCCATATTTTCGCGGGTCAGACGGACCCCTCGTCCCGTCTACGACTTACCCGCCAGGTTACAATCAATTAGATCCTTGATTCTTCTTGTGCACTTGCTTTTTTTTGGTATAAACCATGGGGTTTGAAAAATCTGTTTCCCAGCCTAATCGTCTCTCCGGCTATACTCTACATAAATCACACACGGTCACTAATCAACCAGACAAGAAAATATACATCGCCATGGTGGGGAGCCAGAACATGCCTACAGATTAAGTGGCGTTCCGCCATCCTGTATTTCGTCTGCCGATCACCCACAAGCGCCGCTTGGACGCACTCCGTGGCGCACTTCGTTTTACTTACCTTGGATTTGATACTGCTTACTTGATAATCATGGGATAAGAGGTTTTGAGGGGTCGTTCGGTTACCCAAGAGGGGCAGGTGGGTTTTTTTGATGGAGTGAAGTGGGGATATCTGGTTGGTGGGTCGGTGGGTAGTAGGTGTATGACTAGGGTTATCTTCGGGGAATTTCGTTTTAGCTTTGTTTAGTGAGGTATCAACGATAGGTTGGTATGAGGTGGACCATTACTTGATTTTTTTTCTTCCTTGGTACTTGCTGCTAGGCTGTGTGTGGGAAATAGTGCGAGAGGTTGATTTCGTGCTTTTCAACGGGTCGGTAATTTGATGTGTTTTGATACTTCAGAGTGAAGTCTTAGGAGTTTCTATTTTTTTGAGAAGCTGGTTGTGGAGCGCGTTACTGTCAGCACAGAGGGGATGGGAGTGTAAGAGGTACAGACGTTGCATATGACATTACGCAAGAGAAGTTGGAATAGTGAGTATTATTGGAGCTAGCTTTTCACAGTTGAGTAGCGGATACATCATAAATACACAAGTTCTATACCAATTGTTCCCAACTTACTATCCGACTTTACTGAACTTCTCCTTGTTGACTCTATACGATCCTGACGCAGGAGTGACTCAATCAACGAGGAGAATTTTACCACCAAAGTTAGCCTCACGAGATGCTTTTGAAGCAGAAACACATAAAAAGGAAACCACGGCTTTATTTTTGATTTGATCTCCAACGCAGGTTGTGGTGCAGGAGGTATCCCTTCCAGTAGCTACACAGTACATTTTGTTTATAAGGAATCAGGTTACGTGAAATATTCGATAAATTCCGGGCAGGAGAGAGATTGAAGTGAGTTGTTCCATGAAAAAACAGCAATATAAGAAATGATGGCATTGATAAATTTCAGATTTCTTCTGAACATCCTTTGCCTTTACTATACCTACTGATGGACGAATTTCTTCTGTGGTCATAGAAGCTGTAGATTTGGCCGGTCAAGTACAATATTCTCATTTGTTTTTTCTTAACTTTCAAACTCGACGTTTTGATTGTTTATACCGAGTTGTACGCGAACAGCAATTTGTCAACAGCATAATTTTGCATACATTCTCAGTAAATATAGCTTATTATGAGCTCTTCTTTTCTCTTCGAGAACTGATTGGCATTCCCAGTGTAGGAAACATGGAGAGAAAAGCTTTGTTATGGCCGGAAAATGAAAATTATTATTGGAGGTGGTTTATGTCTTCTACAATAATTCTTCAATTTACAATATAACTATAAGAAGTGTTTATAATCTTTAAGTTCAACCCTTACATCTGAAGCGTATATATACACGTTTGTATAAACTCTAACGTAGGATTCTTCTTCTAATACATTGCACTTTGAGAATGTAGTGGCTAATACGAGGGTAAGTATCGATAACACGGAAGATTGGTTACGTGAAGGCAGGGGTGGCGGGCCAAGAATGACTACTATATGTAATTAGGACCGAAGATATATCTATGGAATTACCTAGAAAGTGGGACCGAAACATACATATCAGTACCCCGCAACCATCTATTTCACAAACAGTATTTCTGTGGATACTATAATGTCATTTCCAACGGAGATAACTTAACCCCGACGTAAAGTACGTCCGTCACCCCTCCCAATACAGGACTACCCCACACACTAATTCCTTATATACTTTCCCCTCAATTTCCTCCCCAGAAAATCTCCATTCCCCTGCAAAAAAAACAAAAATGTCCGTCTTCCGCCCCTCCGCCCACGCCCTCATAACCGGCGGCGCCTCTGGCATCGGCTACGCCGTCGCGCGCCTCTGCCTCTCGCACTCAATGCGCGTCACCATAACCGACACCAACCAAACCCTACTCGACCAAGCCTCCAAATCCCTTTCTGGGAACCTAACTTCCATAAAAGCAGACGTAACCTCGCGCTCCGACTGGGCCACCCTCAAACAGCGCATCGGGCATGACATCGACTTCCTCATGCTAAATGCTGGCATTGGGGGCAAAGGAACGTGGGGCGATGCCGACTACTTTGACAGTATCCTCGGTACGAATCTGGGCGGCGTGGTGAATGGGCTGAATGCGTTTGTACCGGTGATGCTGGAGAAAGAGAAGGAAGGCGGGAGGAAGGCGATTGTGATTACGGGGAGTAAACAGGGGATTACGAATCCACCGGGCAATGCGGCGTATAATGCTAGTAAAGCGGCGGTTAAGACGCTCGCTGAGCATTTAAGTTTTGATCTCAAGGATACGAATGTTGGGGTGCATTTGTTGGTTCCTGGGTGGACGTTTACGGGGTTGGTAAGTTCAGATTTACTCCTTTGAGTGAGGGATGATTATTCGAATGTGCTTGCTGACGATTGGGTTGTAGGCTGGAAAACCACCGGGCAGCGACGCACCGACGCCAGAGGGGGCGTGGTCTGCCGATCAAGTTGCGGAGTATATGTTTGAGAAGATGAAAGATGACAAGTTTTATATCATTTGTCCCGATGGGCAGGTCACTGAAGAGACGGATAAGAAGCGTATGCTGTGGAGTGTGGGCGATATCATCAATGGACGACCGCCGTTGACAAGATGGCGTCCAGAGTACAAGGAAGAAGCGGAAAAGTGGATGGCGGAACAGAAAGTCTAAAAAACAACAACTAGAAGCCTTCCGGACTTTGAAAATCCGCTTGAGTAGTGAAGAAAGTTGAATAAATATTTTCTTGTATCAACTTCATGAATATCTCGCGATGGGGTATCTAGATATCAAACTCTTAACCTTTTTGCTCCAACCAACTCCCTTTGCTACCTGCCATTACAACTTCGCATCGCCTGCAGCAAGAGCACTGAGGTCTTCTTTTGCGGTCTCAAATCTCTCTACAGGCGGGCGCTCCACCTTCTTCTCCTCGTCGGACTCTGGTCTTTCGACTCCATCGCTAAAAAGTCCCGCCCCTTTTCCGGTGCTTGAACTGTGCTTACTTTCCTTTCCCTGCTCCTTTTGCACTTGATCATCCATGGTCTCGGAAATTGATGCAGGATTCCCAAGCTGTTTCTCAAACTCGTTTGAATCTCGAGGCGGGGGTGTAGTAATGTTTACGCTGGCAAGTGTAACCGTGCTAGCATTGACGTCTCTTCCTTCTGCTCCATCGACCTTGAGACGGAATGGATACGCGATGCCACCTGCTGTAGGGCGTGTCGTCAGGGTATCAGTACTGGGAATGATGGTACTGGGTAATGCAGGGTTGTCTGAGGCTATGACATTCGGCGTGGAGGTCTGATGATCTTGTTCGACAGTGAGCGATGGTAGGCCCGATGCAGCACGCTCAGGTGCCAGTCTTGTTGCGTCGGCAAGCCCGGGTTTTGGTAGGTCCATCTGGGACAGATCGTCCATGGCCATGTCGGCCTGGCCCCGATCGGTAACAGCCGAAACGCGAGAGCGTGACCTCGCGCGTTTGAAATTCGGCATGGATAGTCCAGTTGTACGGCTTCGCTTGGACTTGCTTTCCGTTGCACCATCTGTATCTGAAGCCTGTGGAGCTTGCACAGTGTTTGTTGGCTCAGCAGTACCCTGCTCTGCTTTTCCTTCTCGTACAATCTGTATCGGTCAGCCTAGGGTATAGATCACACCATTCAGTGAGATGCTGACTTACGGTAGCTTGATCATGTGAACTGCCCCAGATAGACCACATTGACAGGCCCCAACTCTTCTTTTTAGCCTTTTCATTCTTCATTCCCTTGACCCGTCTTCCAGCGAGGGCTGTAGGGGGTGGTGTTTCTCCATCAAAGCCCTCGAAACCTCTTCGCATATCCTCGATCCTCTGCTTCTGGATCTTGATCTTCTGCTTTGCAAACTTCGAATTCCACTGCGTCTGTGCCTTCATCCATTTGCTCACGGGGCCCGTTTTTGGCACGCCAACATCAGTGCTGGGAATATTGAGAGCAGGGAGGTCTTCCTTGGCGGCGAGTGGATAGATTCGCCCATGTCTGTCAACGCGTTGACGAATCATATGATTTTCGAAAGGCGGAATCGGGTCACCAGCTCTGCCCACGCGAGCTTCCGCCTCTCCCTTCTTTTCAGTTGTCGAATCATTCTGTGGAGCATTCGCATTCGATGTGTTTGCACCATTGGATGAAACATCTGGGTCAGCTCTTTCTGATTCTGATGAAGAGCTTGAATCACTACTCAGATAGGAAATCTCGTCGTCGTCGAGTATGTCAATGGACTTCTTTTGTGCACGTGCAAGTGCCCAGGCACCGAACTGAGCAATACTGCGGTACATGTGTTTGGCTGGCCGCGTAAAGCTGAGAGTGGGGCACACATGGCATAAGTCATCCCAGACCTGGAGTTGAACATTGGTTGGTTTGTAGTTGGCTACTTGAGCCTGAATCTCTTCTGCAGTTTGGTTATTGGACGGCGGTGGTATGTAGGCGAGTGGTTGTGCAGCTTTGTGGGCAAGGTAGATCTGCTCATCTCTAAGTAGCTCACCACCTCCTGTCTGAATCAGCAAAGGCGGTAGGCCCCCGAGTGTTGGTTGCAGAGCTGGTGAAATCAGAGGGTGTGTCAACATGTGGTTGGGAGTGTACAACTGGATCTGATCCTTAATCTCGACTCGCACATCTTCGAGCTGCACCGAAAGCTGACTCTTTGGTCCTACGCTGTACTTGCCGTCGGGCGAGATCCAAACATCGGCGTCATGGCCCGTACCAGAAGGCTTCGAGCCATTTTCGAGGACAGGACGATCGTTGGAGGTGACGGAGAATCCGCGTACGCGGTCTGCTTTTTGGTCTTTGGTTTCTTCGCGGTCTTTGGCCTTCTTTGTCTCGTCATCCTTCTCAGTTCCTCCTTTTGCCGATGTTTCGATTTCAAGCATGTCGTCTGCATTTGGAGGTGCTAGGACAGAGTCAGCTGCTAGATGTATATAGCCAAAGAATAGAACCTACGCCAACTGATGCTAGGTTTATGTAAGAACCCGTGAGGCGGGATATAATCCATCTTGCCGTCGCCACCTAGACTTGGAAAGCTATGCGTCAGATCAACCCAAGGACTAATCAAGATCGCTCCTGCGGGTAGAGGTATGCCTTGGTCACGCAGCGTTACCAGCATGCTCAAGACCATTCCTCCGCCCGCGGAGTCACCGGCAAGAATAATGGTAGTCGGATCATGCCTCTCTTCGAGAAGGTAGAGGTATACGGCCAAACCTGCGGCTGTTAACATGGCGCGAAGATGACCGATTAATTACTTACAGTCATGCAAACCGCATGGAAACGGAAATTGTGGCGCAAGCCGGTATTTTGGGGCCAAAACCCTAGCTTTGAGTTTGCGTGCATGTCTTTGCATTTGATAGCGATGCTCATCTACACTGCCAAAGAAGTAGGCACCGCCATGAACGTATAGCATGATACGATCGCCCTTGTGAATTGCCAATTGCTTTCTCGCCTCATAATCCTTGCGCATCTCAATCCATTCTGCCTTTAGTGTGGTTCCCTCGCGCCGCCACTGCCACCATTGTTCTCCTCCAACGGCCTTGATGCCTTTGGGGCCTAATTGAGCGGAAATGAGCTCGGCAGAACGCTGTAACAGACGGCTTGAGATTTCCACTTCATTTACATGTACCCAGCGCGGAACCGGGACCCACTGCGAGGTGAATACTTGCAATTCATCGACAGTATGTAGTGAGGCATAGTGGAGGAAACGGCGAATGAGCTCGAGGCCTTCGTGGTAGGATATGTGCGCTGTAGGCTTCTGCGACAAGGGCCGACGGTTGAGGTAATGTGAGAGATATGTCTGAATAATGGTGGGCGTAACAGCAGCGCCCACAGAAATCGTATTGACGGGCATCGCAGGTTCAATTCAGGGGTGCGGAGCTGGCGGGATGGGCCACAAGGACGTCGAGTCACAGCTGCGGGCGGAAAAAAGAAATACACGACGCGTGAGAAACAAAAGGAAAGAGAACAAGCAAAAGGGTGCACCAAGAATTGTCTGGTGAAGATTAGGGGGCTATGGAAGCTTGGGGGACTAGAGGCAGGTGGAGAGGGTCCCCGGATTTGCGATGCATGCAGGCCCACTCCGCTACGTCATAGAGACCCTTTTTTTCCCGTTGTGCTGCCAAGCCCGTTATTCAACCCGCGCGATCTTGATTGTGCTCGTCATTTACCCCTTGCCCACCGTCGGCCTTTCATTTTCCTTCTTCTGTGCACTCTAATGAGTTAGTAGCTCCGATACCTGTGGAGTTTGATGCATAACTATCTTATGTTTTCAAAACCACGGATTAAGAACTGTTCAAGTGAGCTTAGTGTCCATTTCCCAAGACCCTGCGCATACCCCCTCATCGAAAAAGTAACAGTGCTTAACGCGGGTAGTACTCGGGGTTATGCCAGGCACTCACCAGGTACTGCAACTCTTCTGACAAGGTGGTACCCACCCGACGTGCACATCAACTTGGCAAAAAAAGGTGGCCTTTTTTGCAAAAACATACGACAGCGGGGATTCGCTAGTGGTCACCCACCTAACTACTAATCCGCCGGTAAACTGCTTGTATAGGGCAGATCGGACGGGATGCCTAATTCTCAGTTTCCAATGGTCGTATGTACTATAACCATAAAAATAGTTTATTCTATTCGTGGATGATTTGTAGGTGCGACCTAAATGCAAAATCTACGAATGCTCACATGATCGTATCGATAACCCCATCTCGCCTGGCATCACCATACGGAAATGCGCAACCCCCTTCATCCCTTTTTGCACTCGCTGGAGAAAAGAGAACAAAAACACAAGCAAAGAATTATCTTGTTTATTTTTTCTCGATACAGTGCATTGCCATGGAGGTTGGTGGACATGCTACAAGCGATTCTATTATTTGCTGTATCTACCTCACTAACGCATCGATGCATAATGGTGTACACAGAATGTAAGGAAATAGTAACAAACTGTCAAAGTCCATAGTAACTACATGTATAAAGAGAATGCCTCTTGTAAATCAAAGGTTACCTTTCAAACCAGTATCACCTTAGTTATAGAAAATGGGGTATCATATGCCAGCTGCCCAAACGCCAGAAAATGCATAGTATGAGAAAGTTGAACTCTGAATCCGTTTTTTGGCGTCTTTGTCGTGGCGCCATGTAATTCAGTCCGAGTCATAGCCTACTAGTGCTGATAGCAAAGCAGGTTTCTTGGCCGGAGCCGCGTCATCAGTTTCCACTGGCGACACGGCAGATACTTCTTCTTCGGCTGGGACATCTCGCTTCCTCTTCAAAATACCCAGGTTGATTCTCGATGCTGGTCCGTTATCTTTGGATAGGAAAGGGTCAATCGCTGCCCGGGTATTGCCAATAAGCGTTTGTTGTAACCCGTGTCGGCTTTTTTCTGCTACCAGCTCTGCCTTCAGCTTTTTCGTCTTTACAACAGGCTCAACGGCCTTGGTAGTGTCTTTTTCCTCAAAGATTGGTTTCCACGACTGTTGCTCGAGTTCTCGGTCGCCCGACATGTTTGCTCCAAAATCGACCAAGCCGGCACGCGTGCGGTCTGCCTCCGTCTCGTCCGCAATATCTAGCCCTAGACTAAACTTCGCTTGTATACCCTGTTTTTGCATCTCTTCCTTCTTCCAGACCTTTCTCTTCGCGCGGAAATCTTTCCTGAGTCGTGCGTTCACGTCGTATGGGTCTCGCCAGACTTCGCTTTGATCGTAGAGTTCCTCAACCCGTTCTTTGTGTTTCTTTTCTGCATTTTTATCTTCTAGCTTTCCTTCGAGGTTCGCAAAAGCATCTTCCCTCCGTCTCTGGCGTTCTTCATCAGTTAAGAATTTGAGCTCTCCCTCAGCTTCTGGTCCTTTATCTCCTGGTCCGTAGTCTCGCCGCCGAGCGCCTTCAACGACTTTATACTCGCTATTCTTTGGATCGGTCTGAATCTCCCACCATCCGCCACAGGCACTGTGCTTCATGCGAAAACTCCATATTGGTGTGCTGTAATAGCTACCTATCTTCTTCTTCTCGGCGTTGAAACGTACACCCTGGCCGATGATGGCTGGAGGAGTGCAGTGGTCGCACCACACGGCAAAGGGAAGCTCGAAGCGAACAGTAAGGATGCCCTGGGAGATCTTGTTTGCGCGTTTGCCGAGAGGATGCGAGTTGCTGTTGAAGCTCGGAGGGTTGGAGGCATCAGGCGGATAATACCGCCCCATGTTGAAGCCCTGCATCGTTGCGGGGCGTGATGCAGGAGGGTGCGACGTGCGCTATGTCATAGAAAACCGGTGTTGGACAGTATGAGGTTAGGCTCTCAGTGTGCGAAAGGTGTTTGGCCGCGGAGGTGGATGACATAAGCAGCCACTCCGATCAGCTGCATCGTCGTCGGTCTCCAGTTATGCCGATGATCAGACAGCCTTGCGATGCCCAAACGTGACGTCACCCGCCATGTGCAGATCGGTGGATTTACAGTTGCTCACATCTCAACGCCCAAGCCATGGCTAGCGGCATAAGAAATTACTCGACTTGGAAAGTCATTTAAGGTTTTTCATTGATTGCAGCACTAAAAGGCTTGTCTCTTTCTGTGACATGATTAGGACCGAAACGGCCAGGTATGCCCAACCTGAGTTCGCATGCGTCATTTCCAAGATGAGGGCTTCAACATGCAACTTTAGCGGGAAGCAGTCGAAAAATGCGCTTAATCATATTCTTTTAGATGACAAGTTTATCTTTCCCTCGCATCCATGACGCCATCCAGCTGGTTATCAGAACCAAGAGTAGTCGCGTCGCCCATATCACAACCTTGCCCTTCCTTCTTCCTCTATATGACACTGTCGAATAATTTAAGCTTCGGGGTCGGTGATGAGCTTGGTAATCTTTCCAATGGCAATCGTTTGACCCTGGTCACGGAGAGTGAAACGACCAAGCTGAGGGTAGTCTTCGAAACGCTCAACACAAATGCTTCCAGCCGTACCGGTAATCTGCAATCGTGCAATAATGCTCATGCCCTTTGTCGCAAATCCAGGTGCTTTCTTTGATCGTCTTCCGGTACCCTTCTCGAGCTTGTGCAGTAGTGCGCTAATGGTAACTTCTTCTTGTGCTGCGTGGACGTGAAGCACGCAGTTGAAACCAGCAGTCACAATAGACTTGATGTCCAGAAGCACGACCTGGGCCTCAAATTGGGAGACGCAGTGAACAGGTCGCTTAGGTGAACACAGCACGTAACCCTATGTAGTTGCATAATCAGTATCCAATTTAGTGATGTAGTCACAAAATCTACTTACGGGCAAGATATCTTCTTCTTCCACACCTCGGATTCGTACACGAATTTGGTCACCGCAAGCTGCGCCAGGGATTTCGTCTTCCTGCTCACCGAACAGGGCAGAGATGTGAATGGTTTGTCGGTTAGGCATCATGAGGTACCTTACAATTGTCAGTGCGTTTCAGGTAGACCTTGCAGAAATGACTTACTTGTTCTCCTTCTTGATGATACCGGATTCAATCTTTCCTTCGATCATGGTGCCCATGTCCTTGTACTTTGCGGCGATGGGCATCATGAAGGGAGCATTGAGCTTGCGCTCAAGAGCTTGCATGTTGTCTAGGTACTCAAGAAGAGATGGTCCATCATACCAGGGTGCAAGGTCCTATGAGTAAAATTGTCAGTACAGCCACTAACATAATTCACCGTTTCTCTTACCTTGGGCACACGGGTCTTGATTCCAGTAAAGGTCTGGGCGCTGACAGGCATCATGCTAATGTCTGTCTTGGGGTTGTATCCGAGACCCTTCAAGAAGGCTATGACCTTGGTTGTGCACTCCTTGAATCGATCCTCTGACCATTCGACAGTAGGATCGTCCATCTTGTTTACGACGATGAGAATCTTGTTCACACCCTGCGTCTTGGCCAACATAGCGTGCTCTCGGGTTTGTCCACCCTTTTCGAAACCAGTCTCGTACTCTCCCTTTCGAGCAGAGATGACAAGAATACCGACATCTGCTTGCGAAGCACCACTGATCATGTTGGGGACATAGGTCTTGTGGCCGGGGGCATCGAGGATCGAGTATCGTCGCTTCTCTGTCTCAAAGAAACCTCGACCAACCTCGATAGTCTTACCCTGCGCACGCTCCTCCTTGTTCAAATCGAGCGCCCATGAAATGTACCATGTTTCTCGACCAGCGTCCTTTGCCTCCTTCTTGTACTTGTCAAGGGTTCGCTCATCAACCATGCCAGTGGAAATGAGGATACTGCCACCCAAGGTAGACTTTCCTGCGTCAACGTGGCCCAAGAAGATGATGTTGACGTGCTCCTTGCCGTAGATTTCGGCAAGAGTCGCCTCGTCAATGTCGGCGATTTCGTTCTCAATGTCTGGTTGCTTGGCCATAGGCCTTTCGGGGGCCTTCTCTTTGGGAGTTGGGCTGTTGCGACCCGACGAGGGGGTTGGCGAAGTACGGCCAGAGCCTGCAGAAGCTGGGGTAGGTTCTCCAGTCTTCTCAATCGCCTTTGCAGCAGTCACCTTGGTTCCGGCATCAATGGTTCCCTTCTCCTTGTCGGCCTTTTCCTTGGCAGCGGATGGAGCACCTGGTGTTCCGAGGCTGAGGACCTTGGTTCCGCCTGTCTTTTCAACCTTTGGAGTAGTAGTGTCGCCACCGATAGAGAGAACTTTAGCCTTGGGTGCACTGTCGCCGCCAATGGACAGGACCTTGGCCTTGGGTGCCTCCTTCTTGGCTTCAGCAGCGGGTGCGGCGCCTGCTGAGCCGGCAACATCTGTGTCTCCCCGCTTCGCTATCCGCACAGGAGCCTGGCCTTGACCTTGTTGCTGCTGCTGCTGGGGCTGGAAGTTCTGCTGGCCCTGGTACTGGCCGTAGTTGGGATAGCCCTGCTGCTGGCCATATTGTTGGCCATATTGGGGGTATCCTTGTTGCTGCTGATAGTACTGGCCCTGGTTTGCGTACTGGTTGTATCCACCATACTGCTGGCCGTATTGATTGTAGCCGCCCTGGTAACCTCCGTAGGGCTGGCCAGGCACGAATGAGCTCGCGCCGGGCTGGAATGACTGCGCTCCGGGAGTGAAGGTGGGCGCATTGTTGAGGTTCATGCCCTGCGCCTGCTGCGAGAGGCGCTCCTCCTCTTGCTCCCAGTTGTCCGCCATGGTGATGGCACTTTTTTCTTTGAAACGTGAGGGCTGAGTTGGAGCGGGGAATGCGCTAATGGCCGGGGATGGTGGGCGTGTGAGAATGCGCAAAGAGGCCGTATAGGTATATGGGCAGCCCAGGAGCGACGTGAGGGCTAAATAGGCTGGCGATCGAGTGTCGTCGGCGAGAAGCGAAAATGTTGCCGTGTCGTTGATGCCCACGCAAGGATTTGGCGGGGTTGTTCGCAGTGGCGCAGTGGGGCTGACTCAGGCTTGAGCTCCTCTCGCTGCCTAACATTGGCCAGGGCGCCCTCGTTGCGACTGGCACCACAACCAGCAACAAACAACAAAGCCAGTCACAAATCATAAGCCATAACCCAGCTCTTTTCCATATCCTTCTAGCATTTCGTCATACTTTCGCCTCCTCTCCTCGCAACCTGCGCATTCATCCGGTTCCATGATCTCATTGCTGCTCTCGACTTGTTTGTTCGCCGTGCCAGCATAGTAATCCTCCAGGCGACGCTCATCTTTATTGGTCAACATGGATGTCCTACTCTCAAAGGTATGACTGTTTTCTAACTTTCCATGCGCCTACGTATGATCCTAGAGCTGCATGTTCGTTCCCTCTCGCTGTCAGCAAGCTGACAATATGCCAGGTCACCCAGCAGGCTATGAGCTATGCCATCAGAAGCGGCATAGCAATCACCAGTCACTATGCACTAAAACAGTGCGGCCGTCTAATGAAGACTGTCGATGGCCAGGAGAAGCAGGAACTTGCTGCCCTGCAGATGAGGTTGGATTCCAAAATCAACATCATATCCCCTGCCATCGACATGATCGAATTGATTGCAGCACGTGGCAACACATCGCTAGAATCTGCCGTTGGCCTGACCAAGTCGCTGCGGTGGGAAATCCAAACACTAGGCAATCGAGTTGAGAAGGCCGTAGCCGAGGAGCAGCTCACCAGAAGAGGAAGCTCGAGAGCAAAGTCACGCGACCAAAACATCATCGAGCTCAAAGTGATTATCGGAGATATGAAGCGACTGTTGGAGCGCATCGAGGATGCAGTGCCACTAATCAACCTTGCCATCACCACATCTGGTGTCAACCTCTCCACCACGCTACCGGCTACAGTGTCGCCATCAAGGCTACTGCAAGCAAGTACTTTCCTTACCTCTGGTGACATGCAGTACTGTGCAAACAAGCCCAGAGCCCAGCAGATTGGACCAACATTTACCCTATCCATGTACATGCTATTCTCTGGTCATGCAAACCGACCTCAGGAAGAAGACTTACGCGAGACGACTTGGAAAGAAGTCATGCACAAGGCCCGTGTCACGCTCATGAGGGTGCCGCTGGACAATGTCTACGACTACCCTACACCTTTTGGACAAGATAGTAGCCGGGCTGACGAGTCAAGCCACCGGCATATACCATCCGAAAATATTATGCAAGAATTTGCATATCAGCTGCTCATTGTCGAGGACTTGGACGACGGTCGCATGCACGATTACGAAGACGGCGAGCCACAGCCTGAGCCATATGATGGCATTCGTGAAGCTGGTGTCAGGGAGATCATACCCATTCACGAAGTTGCCAAAATCTTCTATGCCGATACTGGTAAAATTCTTAACATTGGTGCTGACGGCGAGAGCAACAACCCCATCTTGCTACTCAAGAGAGATGTCAATGCAGCACCCCCACGGCGCATGATGGAGCGAGATACGGACGATACTAATTACAAATCCGATGATTCCCACACCATCGGCGGCGATGAATCAGATTTAGAGCAAAGCCAGCTTGAAGACCAATTGCGGCGCGAATCGACTCCAAACCCAGAACCATCAGCCCCACAAGAGCCAGAACAACCAACATATCCCTGGCGTCTACCTCCCACGCTGGATCTAGAATGGATGGCCTTTGAGGTGTACACTGAAGACCCATCGACTGATTCAGAGGTGGATGAGACAGAGGACTTGGAAGAAGAGGTCTCATCGCCTGCTCCAGCGGATCGGCCAACCCACAACGACCGCTTCTCAACCCTTAACATACAACCCAGCACACCCACAGATTCACCAAAGTCCACGCCGCATAACCAAATCATTCCATCACCGGAGAAGGTCTCGGCGCCAGTACCACGATATACACAAGCTGCACCAACAAGCCTGCCTGCCATCAAAACTTCGTTATCATTATTGGAAATGCTCATTCGTTTGACTGCACTGCAACAATTCCAACAGTCATCCCACCTCGCCATCCCAGATGAATTCCTCAACTTCTTCTTATCGGACAGCAGTACAGTAGGCGCAGGTGGCGACGCTGAAATGCGACGCCGCGTGCGCCGGCAAGCCCGCATGCGAGTCGGATTTGATCCCTACGACGAGAGTCCAATTAAGCGCCGGGGCGAGGACTACCTCGAACACGAGTTACACGACGGCTACGACCCAGCAACTCCAGGAGAAGATGGTGCCGGCCAATCATACGATTACGATGGGTATCCGATTGCTCGGCGCTCTTCCTCCGCGTATTCGCGCTCTCGCCCAGGTACACCGGGTCACTCGTCTTCGACATACAGCACGACACCCGTGTCGAATGCGCACGCTGCATATTCTGCAGTTGATGTATCGAGTTCCAGTCGGTCGGGTATGTCGCATGGAAACACCGCATCGCCGAGTCCACTGCTGCGTCGAGCAACGACGCAGCCTGGTGGTCAACTGAAGACGCTCAAGCAGCCTAGTTTCCGCCCGTCTGCCTCGCGTCACGGACATGATGGTGTATCTAGAGGACACTCGTTTAGAGGCAGTGCACCGCCGGATACGCCGCCGGGGACTGTGGAAAGGTAGATGATGACATCTAGTGGGAACGAATTACGCGTGGTATTCAGAATGAGATGGAATGAACGATGCAAATAAACTGCTTTTTCATGAAAAGTTTGTACAAAGTCAGTCACCATAAGCTACATGCGAGACAGGGCGTTTTATACCAGTTTTCCATTATTCCCAACGACCCAGCATAGAATTACATATAACTATAGAAACATCATAGCATAGAACGGGCAAAAGCGCAATACACGTATTTTTGTTTAAGAAAAATGAATGAATAAGGAGCAAACACATTTGATTCTCACGTGCCCCGTATTTCCTGTCAAGGAAGCTGAAGACCCTAAACTGCTAGTTCACCCAAGGGAACCTAGTATGAAGAAACGCCCATAAACGCCCATGTCCCGATCCGATAGTGATATTCCGCCCGTGTCATCATCATCCTCCACCACAGTGAAAACAAAACAAAACAAGAGGAAAACATTTACTCCCAATCCTCCTCATCGCTTTCCTCAGCAACCGCCTTCTTCTTGTCGTTCTGAGGGCTTCCTGGTGCGCGGCTGGTTGCTCCGCTCACAAGATCGTAGCTGGCATCGCTATCAGCCACGCTCTTCTCATCGTTTGAGCGACGCGGTTGAGCGGCTTGTGCTTTAGTTTCGCTTGCGGGCTTGAGAGTGTTGACTGAGGCAGCGAGATCCTTGGCAGCGGGCTTGGGTGTCGTTGCTGTAGGATTGGAGGTGGCAGCCACAGTTGCGTTGTCGTCTGAGTCCTCATCGTCGTCATCTGAGTCTGAGTCTTCTTCAGATTCTTCCTCTTCGTCGTCTTCATCCTCGTCATCGTCCTCTTCTTCCTCAGAGTCCTCGTCCCATGCGACCTCTTCGTCAGGAGCGGATGTGGAAGCTGGTTCATGTTAGCGCTCTGCATTATCTTGCAGCACAAATCATCTTTGCATATGACATACCCTTGAGCATCTCTCTCCTCCTTTGTTCTTCACTCTCGATGACGTGGCGTAGGAAGTAGTACCTGCACCAAAAGACCTTGTACTCCACCTTCTCTGGGACGTATTTCTCCATGGCACTCCTCAACTCCTCGTGCTTCTCCAAATCCTTGGCAATAGCATCTGTCTTGGTTTCCGCGTCGAACGAGGCCTTCCACTTCTCCCACTCTGGGCTGGCGGGGTCTTTGAGGAACGAGTCGAGAGTCGAGTGGATCACGTGGAGTTGGGCATCAAAGCGTGTAGCGTGGACGACCTTCTTTCCGCTGCTGTCCTTGGACTCGAATAGCACATCACCGTTCTTGGCAGCTTCAGAGCCAGACTCGGGCGGCGCAATAGTAACGGCGTCGCGGAGGAAGTTGCGGATATTGGTGCCAAACTTGAGAAGGGCTTCGTCGGCCGCATCTTCTGCCTTCTCGACATCCTTGAGACGCTTCGCGGCTTCGGACTTGAAGATAGCCAGCATTCCCTCTGCCTCCTTGACAACGTCTGCAACCAGAGACTCGGGGCGATCTGGGTGTGCTTCTATCTCTTCCTTTGCCTTGTCTTCCTTTGCCTTTTCTGCAGGGTCATCTTGCCCGGAAGAGACGGATTTGGAGGCCGACGATTCGCTGGGCTGAAGGGAAATCTTTCGGGCATGGCTGATAATGTTGGAGACGCTCGCTGTCGCGTTCTTGGTCAAGGGCGCATATTGCTTGCTCGCACTATCGTAGTACTGCTCACCCTGTGTCGCGTGGTGTCAGCGGCTAGTCGTCCAGACTTGCCCTTGATGCGACTTACCTGCTTCTTCACACTGCCCAAGAAGCCTCCTAGCCTCGCTGCCCATGGACTGCTCGATATGGCCTTGTATGCATCCTGGAACTCGGCGTTGAAGTTGTTGGCCGTCTCGTTGTGGGTGCTGTCTCCGCCTGTGGACTGCTTGGTGGGGTAGCTCTCCTCCTGGATGTGGTCGTAGGCGGAATCCATGGCTACGATGCTCCAGAAAAGGAGCGATAGTACGAAGGTGTGCAGGCGGTGAGGTTAAGGATGTGAGTCGTTGGTCAGCTGCATCAAGGGTTCAGAGCAGTAGGAGCGGGGCCATGCATGATGCTCCGCAAGCCAGTGCGCTAGCTTTCGGGTGCGTATGTGCGCGGTCAGGTACAAGGCCACTATGCATCGACATAAAACAGCAACAACTTGTCATGTGACAATGTTAGACGGCAGATATGGCACTGATATTTGGATTTGCTTTTTAAAGTCCCTCAAGTACGTGTTCCCTCTGTCAGCCGGCAGCCGCGATGAATACTTGTTGCACGTTTATCACACCATCCGCCATGAGCACTGCTCCCGGACCCGCCTCTGCCAGGCGGCGCCTTTTTAATAATGCGCATCGTTTTCCTTCATCGTAATCATCCGCAATCATGCCTCCTTTCACCTCTTCTTCTTGCCAACAACTGTTGTGAACCCATCCTCGTCAACCTCTGGCTCTGGCTTGGTCTTTGGCTTTGCGGGCACGAGCGCAGGTGCATCCGTCATCTCGGTGTCGTCGTCGTCTTCGTCACTTTCCTCATCCACACTATCCCACTCGCCCTCTTGGTTGGTCTCCTTGACGTTTACACTGCCAGTCGCAACCTCTTTTCCTTTTCTCGCCTCCCACTTCTTCTGCAGCGCATCCACCGTTGCGGTACTGCCCTCGCCAATCTCTTTGCGTATGGTCATAATTTCACGCGCGACTGCGACTTCAGTGTCATCTTCTACTCGCACACCAAATTCGTCCTCGAGGACCTGCAGAAGCATGATTTCCACATCTTCCGCATCGGTCAGAGGTTCTGCTGCAAAACGTTCCGAAATCTGGCCTGCAAGCCAGTCGCGCTTTTCTGAAGAATCAGGACCGCCCCATTGGTTTTGTACGGCGATGGTAAGGTTGGCCCAGTTGAAGAGCGCGTGCCAGATGCCGAGATCGAACTTTTCTTGGTGTTCCTCTGGACGAAGGAGTCGTTAGACATGTTTACGCACATATAATCATTTCTCTACTCACCAGCGATGGGCCCGAATACCGAAGTCATGTTGGGTGGGATGTTTGCTGCGAAGAATCACTGAGCGCGAGTTTGCGTCACTCTGGAATAACTTTTTGAATTTCTTATCGATAAGCAGCCCCTCCATTTCCTTTGCCACACCTGGGAACGTGATGTGCATGGGCTGAGTGCTTGCATATATGTCGCCGTCCTTGCAGCAGAATATACTCAATGAGTGTACTCCAATAGAAATATGGTGGATTTGACTACGAGGATAACTTGCTTGTCTGACATGGTGGCGCATTGCATATGCCGTATTCATCTGGCCTATTTAGACTTCTTGTGGCTTTGCAGTATTGTATGTTCACATACAAATAGGCTATAGTTTTGTTGCAGTGTAAGACTGAGAGATCTGCAATGACCGTCGAGCATGCAATTAGTATATCTTATCGCTTAACCTAGATCCCGACTTTATGACCCTGTAGTTTCAACCCGCGCAGCCTACCTATCCACAGCAATCACATAACCAGCAGGGTTGGTATAATTCAGTTTTTAAATTGAAAGAAAAGGATAATCCATCGTTCATAAATCTGACCGGCTAGAGAATCCGGGGTATTCAGTTTCAATGTAGTTACAGAAAGCCAACAAGATGGCCGGAACAGCCATGATAGCCAGAACAACTAGTATGAGCGTTGAGGGTGTAAACTGCAGATACTGCCTAGGTACTACATTTCGATAGATCAAACTCCGCTACAGTCTTTTTCTATGCAATATCGCATACTGTATAAGCAAGTATAGCCTACTGTCCTTGAAAACAAAAACAGCTCCTAAGAGCTGGATTTCCCCCAATTTGGTCTATACGAACCATATTAACTCGGCCTTGTACAGTGCACAAAAAGGAACTCCGTATACAAACTGCGAGATAACATTACTGCTTAGAAGCTGGTTCTTCACTAAATAGACCTTGTTTGTTAGCTTGATATTAAATCATTGTCCTTACTTGGCTTAAAGGATGATATTGGCGATGAGTTTTTGTAAACGAATGAATGGTACAATTCACAGGCCTCTGCGATATATAGGCCTGTATAGTCCAGGGGCCTGAAGCATAAACTAGATAGATATTCCAGTTATAAGACACTTCTTTCTGCTGAAAAGATTAGACAAGATACTAAACTGTCCTTCTCACTTTCTCACAATTCTCAGGCTATCAAAGTACACTCCGGAATTCACATCACTCCGCCACAATGAAGATTACCACCTTCCTCACGACCCTCGTCGTCCTAACCCCAACCGTCTTTGCTCGATGCCTCATCCTCGGCTCGGGCAACGGCCAAACTTGTCCCCTGACTGTAAGTACTCTGTTAATGTGTTACTTGATCCCAGCTAACTGTTTACTCTAGGCTACTGTCATTACGGTTGGTAACCTAATAGTGTATACGAATTAACAGTGCTGAAACAAAACTCACTAGTGCGATCTTGGAAGCACCCCTGGTCTCTTTAGTTGCAGTATGTTGATGGTTCACATGGTGTGGTACTATAATAGCTAATTAATTTGTGTTTAGAACAAATTCCACAGACGACTTCGTATTGCTGCCTTACCGCTCAATAAGAGGTGGAGTATCAAGAAGGAGACGAGAGCTAGTACCTTTTTTTATATCTTTGGTATGACCAAAATTGCTTTATTACATTGTAGTAGAGTAGCCAAGGGGGTATAGTAGAAGAAGATCCGAAAGGTACTCAGACATGGATCAAATGCAAGGTACAAAGGGGGACGGAACAGAAACAACATATACATAGAACACCAGCCTACAAGTCTGAATACCTTTGAGACTTGGACAATACACGTATTTCATTTAGACAGACTTTAATGTTTTTCTACCATTAAGAGGGAGTGACATTACAATGTGTCGGGGGCAGCACAAAGTTTCCCAAAGACATAAAGCTTGGCGTGGCATGTTGGGTGAGTGAGTGCCCCCCACTATGGCTGGAAGCCACAAAAAGCACCATTAGTTTCTGCAAGTACCGTTACGCTCACAATCAAGTCGGCTATGATACGGTAGCATCGTCGGGCCGTAAGGGGATACGTAGTAGTGCACGCTAAGGCACGCCAAAGGAGCATAATGGCAAATCTGTGGCTGAACTGCTACTTGATGAGGCTGTGTTGTTTAGTGAACCATTCTTCAATGACCAGGCGAGCTTGTCCCCCCCCCCCCTTATGCCACTGAAGTCATAGTCTTGCGTCATAGGAGTGTGGTGGACGGCTGGCGCCACTTGACTCATCAGGTGTCTCTGTGGCATTTATGACTAGAGAGGTTGCGGGTGTGATAGTCTTAGAAAAGCGAGATGTAGGCACTCTTGACTAGTCTCTAAACTGCGACGTTGGAGCAAAGCGGTACCATGCGTGTGTGTGTGGACCGCAACCAGTCCGCGACGCATACTTACGGCGGCCCAGTCGACACACTGCAGATCAAGATGCAATCAACCACGGCAGATGGCCACCAAAGCGCATCTCGGGGTGTGTTCAGGGATAGTCGTGTAGATCGGCAGCTATATCGCGGACATGGCGTCCAAAGTCGCCAGCGTTGACGTCATGGGCGTAGCTAGACCCTGAGTGCCCTGCTTGCCCCTACAATCTGCAATGCAAGCGTCGATCGGAATTGGAGCTCAAGAGCTTAAATCCATCTCGAATCGCTCTCTCTGGACCCTGATTTTACACGCTTGACAACTATTTGCATGGGGATCCACTGTTATCCACTGTTTTGTACGATAATACCTGCATATCTTACTCCCAGTGCACGCACATCCCACTTCATCCGGTCCCAATCCAGTTAGAGCGGCTTGAAGCTCATAATACCCCTACGCTTCTCGTAAGCGCATCAACTTTCACGCCCCTCCCCAAACACGTACAATTGCTATCTGTACATATTAATACGCCATACACATAATGTCGGCGCCTACCTCTGCTACGAGTGAAATGCCATCGCGCACATTCACCAATCGCTCAGGCGACGATGATGCTATTCCAGGAGAAGACACCTCGGAGGTGAGCTGTTGCAAGGCCATTCGAACAAGCACATTGCTAACAAAAACATAGGTGACCAGACTCTTCTCAGAGCGGTTACAGGCTTGGAAACACGCAGTCGGATACCTTGAAGACTACATTACCGCGACCGAAAAGACCAACCACGCACACGGCAAGGAGTATGAGCGGGTTTTGAAGGTTGGTGCTACATGTGCATCCCTTCTACACGCACGCTAACACAGCGTAGACGGTAAAAGACCCACTGAAGGAGGGCCATCACTTTGACCAGTCGCTTGGTGGTGTTGCAGGCATGTTTGAAAACATCCGATCAAACACCCAGGTATGCCCTTCCGATAAGAGATAATTGTGCTCTACTGACAACAATAGGGAATCTCCAACCAACACTACGAGACAGCCAAGCAACTCAAGAGTGCCATTCTCCCTATCTTCGAGCGTTTACACAGCGAAATTAAAAACAAGAACAAGGAGCTTACAAAAGGCGCTGGCAAAGGCAGCAAGGCAGTCGACAAGGCCCGCTTGCTCACTCAAAAGCACATTGAGCTTCTTGGACAGCATTCTGCCGCATTTGACTCGCATAGTGGTAGTCAGATGAAGGCTACTGACGACCCATACATCCTAAAACGTGGGATCAACCACCGTCTGTACAAGCAGGTCCAGGAAGAAAACAACAACCGACAAGACCTTATTGCTGTGCAAAACTCTTTTGCACAGTTTGAAGCCCACATTATCCAGGAAATTCAACATGGCATGGGCCAATTCCTGCAAGTCGTCACCACACAGGCCGAACACACTAAAGCGGCGTACGGTGACATGGTCGGCACATCTCAGCGCATTCCTCTTGACTTTGAGTGGAACGGCTTCATCAGGCGCAACAATAACGTTCTTATCGACCCCTCTGCTCCTGCACGAACTTTAGCGGATATTACCTTCCCCAATCAACACCATGCCGCGACTCAGCCTCTAATTTCAGGCTCGCTCGAAAAGAAGGGCAAGATTATGCGCTCCTACGACACAAACTACTACGTTGTCACGCCAGCCAAGTTCCTGCATGAGTTCAAGACGGACGATGACTTTGCCAAGGACCCCACTCCAGAGCTCTCTCTGTATCTTCCCGACTGCGTTGTTGGTGCAGTCAATGGCCAGAAGTTCAATGTAAAGGGCAAAGACGTGTCCAAGGGCAAGATTGGCGGCGCCTTTTCCATGACGCACGAGGTGGGATTCAAGGCACACACACCACAGGCTGCACAGCAATGGTGGGAGGTAATTCGCCAGGCTGCGGGCACGGTCACTACTGAGGTGCCTGATGCCAGCGTACCTACAAGCCCCATTTCACCAGTTGACAAGCAACCTGCTCCCCTTCAGACACAGGGACTGGAAAAGACTGGATCCACTCCGGCCTCTGCTGTGCCCGCTAGCGCCACGACTCCCACGCCTGGTGAGACGATCAAGAACTAGCCGGATGACTGGTGTCGTGTCCGATGGCTGAACAGGCTCCTGGAAAGAAAACAGGTTGAATGTTGCTTGTTGACATGTTGGCTTTTATTGCGTATACACATACCCCCTTATACACAGATGCAGTCGTGCTATATCCCCCAACCCTAATAATGCTGGTAAGCTTTTTACGTATCAATGAATATCTTGGTTCAAACATCAATCCCACATTTGCCGCACGTTTAAATTGACTCTCTTATTCGCCATCCATCCAGCCCAGTCGTGATACTCTCCAGTCAGCTCGCCTTCTCCTTGTGCACTACTACCAGGCCACGATTTTAGATAGTCAGGACACGTCCCCGCCACAATCTGTGGAACGCCATGCCATGCAAACCGGGAGGGCCCACTCATATAAACCGCACTACCGGACCTCAACCTCAGCGTTACAACCTTATCGCGCACCTCGCCGTCGTCATCCTCGGCATGCGAAGTACCAAGTACAAATATAGCATCGCATCCCAAACTCACACTGATGAGTCCTGTAGAGCTCATCTCAGCGACATCGCGATGCACACTCAACGTATCACCCGGAGAATACAAATTGACAATCGCAGCTTCAGCTTTCGTACCGGGGAACAGCGATTCCAGCATCCCTTTCGTATCCTCGGGAAACGGCGGTGGCGGCGTTGAAGGATACCGCTTTGCAGTCCAGTCGTACTGGCCGCCCAGCGTTGTCCATCGCAGTTTCTTGGTGAGGAGTTGGGCGATGGAGAGGGGTTTGTGGATTGCTGGGTCGAGGGGCGTGGCGATGGCGGTGGCGGAAGAAGGGGGGAGGGAGAAGAAAGAGGAGGGGGAGGGGGGGTAGGAGATTGTGTAGTGAGTGTGGATGTTTGTGAGATGGGCTGGGGAGGAGAGGTCCCGGTGGAGTAGACGGGATAGGAGGATGGATTGGATTTCTGAAGGGAAGAGAGAAGGGATGATGTGGAGACCTACCGTTTTGTCAGGGCTGGAGGCAGGATGGGGAAGTTGGGGGTTTTTTTCGTGTGTTTTTTTTTCACAGATGGCGAGTGAAATGCAGGTGTTCCCTACCTGGCATGTCATCGTGCTCGTAGACTGGCACTGAGTCGGGAATAATCATGTCATCCAGGGCTACATCCTGGCCAGCAAAAGCCTGGAAAATAGCGGTCAAGTCTTTGGTGGCGTACTCTTTGACAACACGGACTTTAGTGTTGGTGGTCGATGCAGAGGCGTCATGGCTCGCCAGATCAATAATGTCCGGGTCATTGTTCAACGTATCCAGCTTCATCTTTTGGTACTTCTTGTAGACATTGCGTATGCCGTCTGGCGGCCGCTCATGGGGATCGAGGTCATGCATCGTGGCCCAGGGATGCAGTGAAGACTTCAAGTGCAGGCAACCAACGGGCAATGGTAGATGTAAGGAATTGTGGGGGGCAGGGGGGGCAGTGAGCCATTGACTAATCTCGCGTTGCGGCTGATGGCGGCGCGTTGCCCGATGCGGCGAGGTGTTTACCCTCTCTGAAATTCCCATGCACAAACACCAGCGCCAAACCCCCTCTCTCCAGCTTTCTGATCCTCGCAGCGGCTCCGCCCTCGCTCCCTCACGACTACTAACCACAGGTACACGTCACGTGAGATTGTTCAAACACGAATCTCGTCGGCTACAACACTGTCCATCTTGGACGCGGCTAAACAAACACGTCTGACCGCTTGTCGTCTGAAACATCTGCAATCGGCAGTCCGCCACCATGGAGAACTACCAAAAGTTGGAAAAGGTCGGAGAGGGTATGGAGGCATCTGTTTTGTAGATACGCCTACATGTTTGGACTAACACCTGTCAGGAACCTATGGTGTTGTGTACAAGGCCCGCGACCTGACCACGAAGGACCAGCGCATTGTCGCCCTCAAGAAGATCCGTCTCGAAGCCGAAGATGAGGGTGTGCCCTCGACTGCCATTCGCGAAATCTCCCTCCTCAAGGAGATGAACGACCCCAACATTGTCCGCCTACTGAATATTGTTCACGCCGACGGCCACAAGCTGTACCTCGTCTTCGAGTTCCTTGACCTCGATCTGAAGAAATACATGGAGGCGCTGCCAGTCAGCATGGGTGGACGAGGCAAGGCTTTGCCCGAGGGCTCTGGTCTCGCCGGCCAGACTCTGAACATGGACGACAAGACCGTAAAGAAGTTTATGATGCAGCTTTGCCAGGGCGTCCGATACTGCCATGCTCACCGAGTGCTTCACCGCGATCTCAAGCCCCAGAATCTGTTGATTGACAAGGAGTGCAATCTCAAGTTGGCGGATTTTGGTCTGGCTCGCGCTTTCGGTGTGCCGCTACGAACATACACTCACGAGGTACGGCGGCTGGCATATACGATGAAGACCCCTTTTCTAACACAAAGCAGGTTGTTACGCTATGGTATCGCTCCCCGGAAATTCTGCTTGGTGGCCGCCAGTACTCGACTGGTGTAGACATGTGGTCGGTTGGATGCATCTTTGCTGAGATGTGCACACGCAAGCCTCTGTTCCCAGGTGATTCTGAGATTGACGAGATCTTCAAGATCTTCCGGTATGTGCACATCCCTTGCATAAAATATATGATTATTAACAAAGACTAGTATTCTCGGTACACCCAGCGAGCAAGATTGGCCTGGTGTGACGTCCTTCCCCGACTTCAAGCCCTCGTTCCCTAAGTGGGCCAAGACGGACATTGCAAACATTGTCACCAACCTTGACGAGGTAGGCCTTGACCTGCTCGATGCGCTCCTTGTATACGACCCTGCTGGCCGCATCTCGGCCAAACAAACCGTCATCCATCCCTACTTTGGCGGAATGAACGGCGACACACGCCACGAGTACAGCAACGGCTACCACTAGCGGTCCCTGGAGGATGCTACGACTGTGATGCAATTTTGGTGGCTTGCACAATTGTTGCAGAGCACACGAGACGTTAGTGTCTACATGAGATTCCCGCTATGTTCTGGATACAAGGATTAGGGCTGTACCTCATCGGACAGCAAGCGGCGTTTAGGACGGGATATGTTACGAGAGCACATGCATCAAATGTTACACTAGCACTTTACCCTACATGATTGGATCGCCTATACCATGTGAATACGGACAAATAAGAATGCATCGAGACCCTGCCCTTTGGTGTTGCGAGTACGCTATGACGTAGCGTGTCTGCCCCACTTCAGCCCTATGGCACGCGTTGAGTGCAGGCATGCGTCCACGTAGGTGTACCAGGCCCATCTCTAGACAGTTGCGACGACATTGTCCCTTAGGTCATGGCTTCGTCAGCACCCAAGTTACTCCCCCCGGGAACTGGCCCTCGGCTTATTGTCTATCACCAGACATTTCACGATTCACAGGGCAGCTACCACTCGTTACTACCGTTGGTGACCAACAAGACGGGCATCACCCATGTCATTATCGCCGCTATCCATCTCAACGAGGGCGCGGGCAACATTACACTAAACGACCATCGGCCAGAGGACACGCGGTACGATCAGCTATGGGGAGAGGTGAACTGGTTGCAAGGGAGCGGGGTCAAGGTGCTCGGCATGCTGGGCGGAGCAGCAAAAGGCAGCTATGAGAGGTTAAGCGGCGACGACGAGAGTGTACGATCTCCCATGTGTTTCTCCTAGTAATCTCTTCTATACCACCAGCAAAAAAAAGTACTAAACATTTCTTAGTTCGAAGCCTACTACACCCCCCTCCACGCCATAATCAGCCGCTACAAGCTCTCGGGCCTCGACCTCGACGTCGAAGAAGAAGTCCCCTTATCCACAATCACACGCCTCATCTCGCGCCTCCGCGCAGACTTCGGCCCTGCATTCCTCATCACCCTCGCCCCCGTGGCTACAGCCCTCGTGCCCGACCCCAAAATCCCAGCGCACCTCCGCCCCCCGCGCCCCATGCTCGCCTCGGGCCCCAGTCCCAACCCCTTACACCCCACGCTCCCGCACCTCAGCGGCTTCAGCTACCCCGAGCTCGAATGCAGCGACTTTGGGCGCGAGGTAGCGTGGTACAACACGCAGTTCTACTGCGGATGGGGCGACGCAGCGAGCACCCTCTGGTACGACGCCATCGTCGCCGCAGGCTGGAAACCCGAGCGCGTAGTCATGGGCGTAGTAACGAACCCCGGCAACGGCGCCGGTCACGTTTCGCTCGCCACGCTCACGCAAAACTGCGCCGTGCTCCGCGACAAGTACCGGAATGTGGGCAAAGGGTTTGGCGGCGTCATGGGCTGGGAGTTCTTCAACGCTGGCGATTCAGACGCCGATATCGTGCACGTTGCTGAGCTCGGCAGCGAGACTCTGCAGGTCGGCTGGGTCGCGGCCCTCGGCAAAGTGTTGAGGGGTGAGGAGCCAGAGGAGCAGACACAGCATTCGAATCGCCCCTTGCAGAATGTTACCGCAGATCAGATTAGGAGTATGGTGACGCGGTTGCCGCAGGCAAATCCCGCCTGGCCGGATGAAGAGGTGCAAAAGTTGGTGGTGCTGGGGTTTCAGCGGCATGAGGCGGTTGCCGCGTTGAATGCTACAGATGGCAATGTTGAGTTGGCCGCCGGGTTTTTGTTTGAGCATTATCCGCAGTAGACGGGGTTCTGGGGTGAGATTGCATTGGGTGGGTGCGGTGACTGGGCCGGGGGTTAGATAGAGTGATGAATGTTATGATTTTGCATGTCTTGATATTTGATCACATTGTGTTGTACATAGTACGTGGGTGAGAAGGTCTTTTTTTTCCTGTAAGCTTTGTACAACGTTACTACACGAAACATCAAGTAACGTAGGCTTTCCAAGCTCACGTCGAGTTGTTGATGCAGAAATCACGTCTTTCAAACAATGCGTAGATGGAAAAAAAAAAGAGTAGTTCAAGATATCAATGATTCTCTGGATTGATTTGTAGGGAGAAAAGGAAATAATACTTGGGTATCCTCAGACTACGTACACAACATACTCGCTGGTAATCAACAACCACAGAAAGAAAACTAAAAAACAAAATGTCACAGCACACTTCCATGACCGTCCGTCGTTTGAACCCCATCCTTCCTCTTTGCTGCCTCAAACCTGGAGGAAAAATAAGTAAATAAATAAATCAAAAACTGTAAACAAGGGTGAAATACTAATGCAATCCAATCGTAAATCTAAAATCTAAAAAAAGGTGGTATAAACGTGTAGTGCTGGAACGGGAAAAAAAATGAGAAAGACAAGGATAAGGAAATATCCATCCCATCACCCCACATGTCTAAGCGCCTTCCTAAACCCAGCCAGCTCATCAATAGCCTCACGAAGAGACGGCGTAGACGACGCAGACGACGACGACCGATTGCGCATTCTCGGGTGCTGGGGAACTTCCAGAAAAGCGGTGCCTGAGCGGGCTGAGTAGCTGCGACCTCGACGAGCCAGTACGGGTGGGGGCACCGTTAGCCCCACAGCAAGCGTTTGCGGGGTATGCGGTGGTGGTGGTAGCGAGTCGTCGGACGAGGTTGAGGAAAACGATAGTGTCGGCGTAAGTGCGGCGGTGTGCATACTGCTCATAACGAAACCGGGTCATTAAGCAATGGTACTTTCGTGTAAAAACATGAAGAGAGATTTGGAAGAAAATAAAAATAAAAGCAGGGAAGAAATGTGCTTTTGAGAGTGGGGATAATTGGGATGCGACTAGGCGGGCATTGGCTTCGAGAAGAACGCAATTCGTGCCCGTGTATCGCTGGAGAAAAAGACGCCTTTGGTGGCTGCTACGCTCTGCGTAAAAGAGCAAGGCGCAGGCTCCTCAAAGACCGTCGTATGCCGAGAATAGAACGGGGGAGAGAGGAAGAGAGTAAAGATGGGTGTTTTACCTTCCATCATCACTGGTCCTTGGGCTCTGTCTCCTACTGTTCATCTGTGTATTTCGGTATGTTTCCTCGTTCAGTGTGTCCAGGCTACGAGCCGGACTAGGCGTCGTAGCTCTGCTACTCCTGCTCCGGTTTGGAGAGCTTGGCCTCGATGTCGCAATCTCGTATGAGGGGAGATCCATGTCCATGCCGCCAGGCGTTCGCGAACCGGCGGGGGTGCGTACAGCCGTGTTGTAGCTGGGTGTCCTGGCTAGGGCATCCATGTCGTAATTCGATGCAGGGAGATCAAAATACGCAGGCTCGCCGCTTTGAGCAGGAGTACTGTCACCTGACGAATTTTGCCTCGACGGGTGGAAGCGTGTTGGGTGGTCGCTGTGGTTCATGCTGAGGTTTGCAAGACGATGCTGCAAAGCTGCTGCCGACGCACCACCGCCTGGTTGGTGCATGGCAGCGTCCAACGACGTGAGATCTTCAGTTGAGCCACGCCTGCTTTGAGCGAAAAATGGCGTATTAGCACCACTGTTCATCATGCTGCGGTATCCACCGGGCGTCATGAAACCGGAAGGATCAATATCGTTGTAGAGCTCATCCAGTTGATGCAGACCGTACGTAGGCGGGGCGTTCTGGTTGACCTCATCCTGGATGGCCTGCTGAGACAATATGCTCTGATCAATCACGACGCTCTGGTCTTCGTTTGGAGGTAGATTTGGCGAAATGAAGAGGTGGACGTGATTCTTGACGAGCAACTGACTAGTGTGACCTTCTGGATTCTTGAGGTTTACGTATAAGCGCAGCTTGTGGCTTAAACGAATGTTTTCCGTGTCGACTGACTGCCGGCAGTTTTTGAGCGACTTTGGTAGGTCGAGTGTCATGGAGAAGCGATGCGACTCGTCGAATAGAGCATCAACGTCCTCTATTCCGTCGGGAACTGTACGCGCAGAGTTTTCAGGCATGTTGCCTTCAGTCAGAGCAACTTGCATTTCCTGCTGGTGACTGATGCGCCGACCAGCGTACTCTGCAAAGAGTTGGCGCGATTCAATCAACTCCATCTTAATCGTTGAAATCTCGACGCCTTTCCGAAGAGGAATCAGAACAAAGTCTGCAGTTATTTGCGTTCCGACAATGTAGTTCTTCTGGGGGACGGTGATTTTGTAGGCGAGCTTGTTGGCCCAGATATCTTCGTTGATCTGCTCCATGGGCATGGACTCGAGCATGTCGCGGCCAAGCGTGCGGATCACGCGAATGTGCGTCAAAGCACTAAGCTGCTTGCTCATGTAACCTCTGTCTACAGTCGCCTTCAAGTTGTACACGATCCAGTTTGAGGGCAGGCCCTCGACACTCTGGTCGAGGTTCTGAGGCATCTTGAATTTAAAGTCCCACTCATGGCATCCAGCATTGATCTTGTGCGCTTTGGTCTTATGGCCAGTGTCAATGGGGAACAGGTGGAGCTCTTCGACGAGGAAGTTTGTTTTTTGCGTTATGGGCTGAGGAGTCACGGTATTGGTCAAATGCCATCTGCAGGGCGCGAAAATGTCAGCATGCAACAAGACGGCGAGGCTGTGCCTGAAGGGGTGCTACCGTACGAAACTTTGCGTGTGCCTGTGAGTGTTATGCGCAAGCTACGCACTGACATGGACTCTGGGTTGTTCAGGATCAACTTGCCCTTGAGCTCCGTCTCATGCGACTCGGCTGACTCGCCATAAAAGACGACAAAAGGCGAATCGGGCCTGCGGAACAATTAGATACTGGGCATTGCAAGAGATGCAGTGGTGCAGGCGTACTTGATCTCGAGGCAAGGAGTGGCATTTCTGCCAAACACTCCAACGCTTGGGCGAGGCATGATGTAACAAAGGGTTGGCTAAAGATCAGGCCGAGGTCAAGACAAGCATCAGATAGGCGGGTGCGACGTGGGGAATCGGCAGCTGAAATATATCCGCCGGTTGCAGTCGCAAGCTGACACAAGAGTCAGAAGACGGGCTCGGAGAGAGCGGAGAGAACGGATGCCAGTCGCAGGTGAGACGGAGGTGACGGATGGCGGTTGCGAATGGGAGGCCAGCAATTGTGGTGTGAGGTGTGAGGGTGCTGGCGGGGCTGAGAGGGATGGCGTGGGATCGACTCAGACAGGTGAGGGTCGAAGATGATGATGGTGATGTATCAGTGGTCCATTCGTGGAGGGGTGGGAAGAGGAAGCAGCTGTGGAGGGCAGGGAATGTGACGTGTATATGTATGTACAGTCTACGAGTAGAAGGGAAAGGAGAAAGAGGTGTGCAGCTGGCGGCGGTGGCGCTGCCGCGTGCTGCTGAGGCTTCAGATATACTACTCTACAAAGAACAGCGGGCGTGGGATGGGCCAGGGCCGCTACTCATGCTCGCAAGTGTACCCTGATGAGCTCATGGGCACTTGGGCTTGGGTGGGGACAGCGGACGCTCGCATCGATGCTCTGATTAGCGCGTTTTCTAAGGACCAAGGGGCCGTCTGGGAATAATTTTCAGGCCGCGATTAGGGTGTACCAGGCGCAGGGGGTGGCATCGAAGAAGGTGTTCCGATAGCGTGTCGCCAACGGCGCGATAGCAGCAATAGCAGCAGCAGCAGCACTGCCCTGACTGACCGGTACACATGAGCAGCACATACGAGCAGCACATACGAGCAGCACATACGAGCAACACACGATTACGCGCGTCGTTGGCCAGGCCCATTGGCGGATGTGGGCCCCGGTGAGCTGTGTACATATCATTGCATGTGAAAGCGTGAATGTAGCCCGGTACTGTGGAAAAGTATGTATGTATGTGTACTGGATGCACTGGATGCATCTGCATCTGCATCCACCCAGCCCAGCACCATCCATCAGCCAAGCCATTGCGCCACAACTTGCATGCCTTTGCCGCTACCGCAATCGGACAAGCCGCTGCGAAAAATCCAACCCCCATGGCCACCTGGGCGATGCACCTCGCCGGTATGAGTTAGAGAGCGACCGAGACGTCTCTCGTGCTGGTGGGCTGACGCCCAACCGCCTGCCATGCCACACCCTCTGCTGTCTCTTTACGCCATCTGCATGGCATTGGAGGCTGAGTAGGTGTACTGTGTAGGAGGGCACCCTGTTTGCGCCAAGCACGTGACGACATCGACACCACTCCCACTATGGCGTCACTACCTCTGGCGTATTTGTCTCGTCGATACCTGCTTGTTATCACAAGCATCCTAATTCATTCACCCAATCTGCCCGAAATCCAAAAAAAATGCCATACCCCAACACGCGGCCGCCCACTCTACTCTGGCTCTACTCCAATCCAGCCCCTCTCTTCACAGCCAGCCAGTTGAGCGCTGGCCGCGAGGGTATTTCTCGGGCCGGGCGAGCACGGCCATGAAAATCTGCGGCTAGACGTGCATTGCCGCAACGGTGGATATCGCAGAGCCTCATCCATGGACCCGCAGCTGATGAGAGACGCGACTACACACGCACCCTAATTCCCGCACCGCCCGTCGCTATCCACTACCAAGCCTGCCGCGCATCTCACAATCACGTCTCAGGAGAGTTTCCCGGCCGGATAGATAATTGTCATGATTTACGCACCTGTCTGCATCTGGGTGGAGATAACAAAACTTGATTTTGCTCCCGCGTCAGGATACACATGTCCATGTTCTGTGGACCCTCCTCCTCCTGCTACACCACGCGTTCTAGAACAAGAAAATGCCTCCTTGCCTCCCATAGGGCTGAACACTCACACACACTCTCTCTCTCCTCTGTCTCGCATGTGAGCC